GCAGACCACACTGGAGCCGCATAGTTGACCACAGACCGACCTATCGCGTTATAAGAGGTCAACAAGGTTTCTTTGTCCGCATCCCAAGAGCTGCCGGCTAGCGCCTTGAGGACCTTGTTCCTACTTTTCATCTTGTCGCAGATAGCTGTGGCTTGCGCGGACGACTTGAACATGCTGTCGAACGTTACCCCAAGAATCTTGGGGTAGTTCGTGGTCGGTATTAAATTCCCCTCGACCTGAACATTCAGCTGTGTTCTCATCTCCGCAGACCATGTGGTAAGGAGTGTGGCCGTTGATTTCGTGGCGGATATTTTCATATTCCTCGCGTGGAAGTATGCGGCAAGCTCCGCGAGATAGGGGTTCAACCTTTCGCATATGTCATCGACCTCTGGACCCGACGCCATGATCGTACAATCATCCGCATACGTTACGATCTCAATGCCGTCTGGAGGGCGAGGAATTCCGGAAAGGTAGAGGTTAAACAGTTCCGGAGATATCACCCCACCTTGGGGAACTCCCTGTTTCACTCTACGGGCTTTGGACTTCTTGTTCCGGAATTCCACGTACGACTGGCGTCCACACATATAGTTGATTATCCAACGTTTCAAACTTGGCCGGAGGGTAGTTCTCTGTACGTCCTCAAACAGTGTGGCATGATTGACCGTATCAAATGCCTTTGATAGGTCAAGGGCTACCAACACTGTTCTGTCACACGGCCTGTTCTGGTTTAGTCCTCTACTAATATGTGTGGAAATGGCGTGTAATGCTGTTGTGGTACTATGTTGTGGACGGAATCCATGCTGGTGGTTGGCAACTGCATAGCTTCCTCTAATGCTGGGGAGGAGTAAAGCCTCAAGAGTCTTTGCTACTGGCGACAAAAGCGAAATCGGCCTGTACGATTCGCCTTTACTGGCATCCTTGCCTGGCTTCAGTAGCGGGACCTGGAAAAACGCTACAGTAACTTTTTTTACCGTTTCTTAATGACATTAATATAATCCTACATACCTAAAAATAAACAAACCTTAAAAAGTAGTGTATATTAAATTTATTATTCCGTTTGTAACTCCAAAAAGTATGTATTTTTATGACCAGCGTACAATTCAAAGTTGATTTAACGATGTCCGTCCGTCTGTTGGAATCGCGACACAGCCCACATTATTTGACGTAGAGCTCAAAAAATGTTATTTGTTGTTCAAAAAGGGATCCGGTGGCAGAATATGGTCCCATTTCGTGTAGCCTCCATATAACGGTACATTCCGATATTCGGTATTTTGACTATTTAGGCCATATTTTCCAAAGAATTAGTGTAAAACTTGGTATTTGTCCTAGTCACATTTACCTACGAAATTGTTTCAAATTTGCCATTTAAGACTCTCCATAGATAATTTTTGTAGTATAAAACTGCCTATAAACGTTCCCATATAAAGGCCTCACCCACTTTATGTTTTTTGAAAAGTTTATCTGCATTATCAAGACTGTCTTACTGGTAATTGTAGTTTAAAGTGGAACACGTGTGAAACCAGATGTTTTTGTGGAGGGTATTAAACTTAACGTTTTTTATTCGTTGTAATTATGTTATGCATATTTGCTCTCGCGATATATAAACTAAAGGAATGGAAAATATATACTTTTATGGTGTGGGTACATAAACAGTTTGAAATATTAATGCCAAATTATAAGAAATTCGAATGCGGCTCTTGCATCCCTTTATGATATGTCACAAATATGCCATACGAAGGCTCAATACTGCTTATGTACCCACAACCTTTATAGCACTGCACATAGGGCTTTGTTTGTAGAACTTTTGTCCAAACGATTATCTCTTACTTTCGTGGGATTCGTACTTATTCCATTAAAATTTTACAAGCTAATGCGACATTACCACAGTGCTGTGCAGTGTGTCAACTAAATCTGAACCTCTTTTGCATGAAAGTAAACAGACCGGAAAACGCTACAATATAAGCTTTTTCCAACACAGTTGGAAACAATACAAACAAAACCAAAATTCATACAAATTGAAAATGCCCTCTAGAATGCAATGAAAAATGAATTAATTTCCAGCAATTTCAAATCGGAGGAAGGCGAGAGAGTCACATTTCGCACTTGAACTTGTATGCATAGAAATGTATTTTTATAAATTAAAAAAGTACTTTCTGAGGTGGAAATAAGACCGTAGGTATCAAGAAATAAGGGAACAAGTTTATGCGGGAGTCGTGTTACTAGGACAACCGTGAATGGATGGACATCGATGAATAAAACCAATCATTAAAAATTGATAATTAATATTATGGATAATTTAAGGCAACAGTTTCAAACGGCTTTCGCGCATTATATCAAACAAATAGCTAAACTACGCCTTGAAAATAAATTGGCAATTACCTTTTATAGAATTTATACATCAGGAAGATCGCTTAAGAATGAATTTGGAGCTCTTTTTGAACACACTTAGGTTAGATTGAAAAGATGTGCGAAACAATTCGCCGCATCCCCTGTTGGGCATACACTTATGCCAGCATAGGCCTGTTGTGCGCACTGATTAAGGTCTGGTATGAAGTCGCTCCCGAAGAATTGGGTCTGATATTTGCTAACGCTGGACATTGGGAGAGAATATGTTCCAATGTTTCGTCATCTTCCCCGTATGCTCTGCATATGCTGTTATCTGCACATCCTATCTTGTACAGACGAGCTTTTAGACCCAGGTGCCCCGTAAGGATGTCTGTTACCTCATCCTTCCTCTCCTTCTTACCTAGTAATAAAAGGTTCTTCGTTTTTATCTGATTGGGATCGCCCTGTTTTAGCGAGAGAGTTTGCAATCTCGTTACCTCTAACTACCGTATGACCTGGTACCCATATAATGCGTACTAAGTCGTGTTGAGAGTAGTTGGTGATTGAATTTATACATTCCAATACAGTTTTTGAAGTTACTGCTTTGGATGTTATAGCTTTTATAGCGGTCTTACTGTCCGTTAGGACGTTTACCGTAGCCAGTCTCGTGTTGGTATTAAGTCAGTTCAGACACTCTGCAAACGCCCGGACCTCCGCTTGAAGGATCGGATTGAGGGCAAGCGGAAAGAGATTACGGTATTTGGTTCTTCAATCAAAATTTCCCAGTCGGCATTTGCTGTAGGAATCCGTCGATCCACGAGTCTTTCGTAGGGATTAATGTTTCACAAGATGAAGCTACAATTGTTTTAGATACCCGGTCCGATACATAGTTTTCAATTGATTCTCCCGTTGTTACCTGTAAAATTTGTTGATGGTATGTAGCGTGGCCTTTGCTTATCCACTTGTCCGTTGCCCTGAGCCTTAAAGCCGCGACGGCTGCTTCATACCGTATTTGAATATCTATTGGGTGCACAAATAGAATTGTCTCTAATGACCCAGTTGGTGTTTTTTCTCATTGCGCCGCAGATGCTTAAGCAGCGCATTCGTTGGACTTTCTTTAATATTTTGGTATTACATTTTTTATCCAAAGTGTCCACCTTAAACAAGCGTTCGAAAATAAACAACACACTAACATAGTGTACAGTATCAGTACAGTATCAAACTGTTAAACACTACCACTAAAAAATATTTTAGTGATACTGTACCGAAACACAACGATGATCGTAGTGTACCGCAGTTGGAGCGCTAAATAATCGTAGTGCACCGCAGTCGGGCTATTAAAAAATCGTAGTGTACCATATGTACCACATTAAAAAAATCGAAATCATAAAACTGATTTTAAACACTCAGTCATACTTTGTAAAATATTTGGTTTTTACACCTACATTCATTGATTTTCGGTACCATAAAATAACAGGTAAATTATTTGCATAATAACCCGTTACAACGGAAACACTAAAATACCCTTTTTCGCGAAGAATTGAAAATTTCAATTTTCAATGGTTAAATACAAATTATTATCACTTCAGATTTAATCCTTTTTTATTCTCTCTGCCTGTTTCCATATTTTTCTACTTTCTTCAATTTCGCAATCAATCTAAACATACATAAAAAAATTCAGCTTTTATTTTCATAATATTGAATTGTATTAGTCCTCCTCCACCTCGGAACGGTACAGAACACTACGTTACAGTACTATACTGTTTATTTTCGAACGCTGCCTTAAACACACTTAATATACCAAAAAAATGCTATTACTTCACTGCTTTGTGCACTGGTAATTTATTGGGGTTGCCGCAAGCAGAATATTTCCCAATGTGTTAAAATCAAAAAATTCACAAAATACTGGTTATGAAAATACTGACATATCAAATTGTTTCGGTGATGGACGAAAGTTTTCAAAATTTGAATAAAACCTAAACGATTTGAGTACAAGTAATATTTTTTTTACAAAAAAACGGGCCGTTCAATTGGTATGGATTTAGCGTGATATTTTAATCGCATAATTGTTGTTTTGTGGTAATGTCTACCCATTGAACAATAGTTTTCAAGCTAGTGCATAAAAATCACTTGAATACTTTTTTTCTCATGGTAGCCTTGTATTTGGAGCTTTAAGGAAGACTACATTTTTGCGTATTGAGATGAAAAACTTAGTCATATTAGGATCTCAATATTAATACATTTGAAGAGAATCCAGCTGTATTTTTCACATTTAATTAATCTGCCTTACCAATCGCCATTTTTTGCTCTAGCAAATAAATGGTGTTTTTATGCTGTAATGTAAAACATGTAAATGCTAGCATTTTTTTTACCTTGGAACAAATCTAAATAAAAAAATGAATATTTCTGAAAACCAAAGAAACGCATAAGAGAGGGGAACATAAACAAGAATATAAGCTTTTTATTAACGATTTGGCAATTGTCGTGATGCCGTCGTCACAAAGACAAATTTTTAAAGCCTATTGTCATGTCCCTTGCAGTCGCAAGAGCAACACAAAAAAATTAAGGTATCCGAAAAATGTCAACACTTTTCGAATTAGCATGATATTTAGACAATAAACCACAAATTTCGCCCATATATTGATCTGAATTAAACTGTTTTTCTTATTTTAAAGGCTGAACCAATCCGTGTTGTTGTCACTGGTGCTGCAGGTCAGATCGCCTACTCGCTTCTCTATATGATTGCTCGTGGCGAAGTATTTGGCAAAGACCAGCCCCTAATTTTGCATTTATTGGACATTCCTCCAATGGTTGGTGTTTTGGAAGGCGTTGTTATGGAATTAGCTGATTGTGCTTTACCTTTGCTCCGGGAAGTGGTTCCAACCACCGATCCTGCTGTAGCTTTTAAGGATGTCTCTGCTGCTTTCTTAGTTGGAGCTATGCCTCGCAAGGAAGGCATGGAACGTAAAGACTTGTTGTCTGCTAATGTGAAGATTTTCAAAGCCCAAGGCCAAGCTTTGGACAAATATGCACGCAAGGATGTGAAAGTGTTGGTTGTTGGTAATCCAGCAAATACCAATGCAGTTGTTTGCTCCTTCTATGCACCTTCTATTCCCCGCGAAAACTTTAGTGCCATGACCCGCTTGGATCAAAATCGTGCAACCGCACAAATTGCCGCCAAGGCTAAGGTACCTATTAGCGATGTTAAAAATGTTATCATCTGGGGAAACCATTCGTCCACCCAATTTCCTGATGCCAGTCACGCCGTTGTAACTGTTGGTAACACTGAAAAACCCGCTGTGGAAGCTGTTGGAGATGCCGAATTCCTAAAGAGCTCTTTCGTCGAAACAGTTCAGAAGCGAGGTGCTGCTGTCATTGCTGCCCGCAAGATGTCATCGGCTATGTCTGCTGCTAAGGCCGCTTGCGACCATATGCATGATTGGTGGAACGGCACTGCCCCCGGTCAATACGTTTCGATGGGCGTTATTTCCGACGGCAGCTACGATGCACCCAAGGATGTTATCTACTCCTTCCCCGTTGAAATCAAAAACAAACAGTGGAAGATCGTACAGGGATTGTCTTTGGATGACTTTGCCAAGTCAAAAATGGCCGTGACCGGCAAGGAATTATTGGAAGAGAAAAATGAGGCAATGGCCGTCTGCAACGCCGATTGACTAGCCGGCCCAGCCGACTCAAAATTGTAAATGATCAGTCTGACTAGTACTGGTTAATGTCAGGATTTGAGTTAGATAAATATGATTATATTAAAGTTTCGACACACCCAGCCCTTGTTATTGGATATTCTCTTAGCCCGCAATGTTATATTTGTTATTTCTCAATATTTATCTCATCCGAAGATAGTTTGATTCACCGTCTTCTTAGAAATGTATATTTAAATTTAGTGATATGAATTTAATATAATCGTCTAATCGAAATTTGTACCCATCTAATAATTTCAATGTTTTTGTTAGTTTTTTACGTCACAAATAAAATTTGTGTCATTGATACAAAAACGGTCATAATTATTTTGTTTTCTTCTCTGTATAGTAACATAATACCCTCCACCCATGGTACAAGAATATACGGTTATAGTAAGTGTTGTTTTAGAACAATTTGAAACAACAAAAAATTTGTAATAACACAATCCTGAAAGATCGAATATGAATGTCAACAAAGACGAGTCATAAAAACGCGTTTCAAGCATTTTTTTAACTTGCCAGTCTAGCCTCTAGTAAATAAATGAAAAAATGTGTAGGTACTGGGCCCGACCATCAATAACATATTTCTTTCATTCGTGAATAAATTTTATTCAGAGGAAAATAATGTGTAGGTATTAATTAGATTCGCGATTTGGTTTAATTCCAATTAAATAATGCCACCCCATTTCATTTATATCAAACAAATCTATATAAATAATGTCCAAAATCTTATATTAACATACAAAGACCTATGTTATAATGAGATATTTCATTGTTGCTTTGTAGCTGGTAGTTCAAAAATATGTTATGTCACCATATCGTGACATAGCATTATGTTATAATATAACATAGCTGGCACTTTTATAGGGGTTGTGCTGATTTTTGTCGATTAAATGTACACGGAATTGCTCTGGAATAGATTTTTGAGTCCATGTATATCATATATGTTGCTTTCGTCCGCGCATTTACATATTTATGTAAATTTTCTAATGCATTCTTGTCATTACCTGATAGAAAAATTAAATGGGCATATGCATTTGTCCAATCGTTACAGTTTTATGTCTTTGTTTATGTCTTTGAATAAAATAAGATGGGACCAAAAACATATAATATACAAAGACATAAAACTATAAAGATTGGACAAAATGCATATGGGCTTTACTTTTTCTATCAGGTAATAGATGGCAGGCGACATAACAGAAATGCATTGAAAATTTTAGAAAAATATGTTATTCCGATATCGTCGAAAAATGGCGGAAATACACGGGAAAAATATCAGGTGTGATAGAGCCAACGCCATCTATTGAAGAAAAGTAACAATGTAATGTCCCATCTTATTATATTATGTGTCTTTGATATCAGGCATGCCAGAAAATCCAATCGGAATGGTTTCAATTCCGTAATTTAAAATCGATCGTGTTTGTATTAGCTTTTTCAGATTCTATAAAAAATTATTCATTGTAGATATTGCAAAATTAGAGGAATGAAAAAAACGAATGAATGAGGAACCAAAACAAATCATAGATTAGAAAATACTGTAGAAGTAGAAATTGTGAAAAATATTCTGCTTAAAAGTTTTTTTATGCGAAAAGATTTTTTTTAACTTTTACACAGTGCCGGGTGTTTTAATTCCACCTGTTCATTCGTATCATGGTAGAAGAATACAGGTAGTCGCATTGACACAGCTGCTGGGACAATGAACTGTCAAACTAAATTTGAAATTGAAAATTTTGAATAAAAAATTATTCAGATTCGAAAAAATTGTTGAAAAACGAATATCATGACAATCTCCGATTGGTGTCGTATAAGAAAACATGTCAAAATCTACTTATTTTTGAAAAAGCATTTCAAAATGTTTGACATATCAATGTTCCCAAGCGTTGATGCATCCACCTGAATTTTTCTACCATGATTCGTATGATCAGGAGCCAAATCACCACAGTTGAAATAGAGTACTTCAGCATCGTAATGCAGTCGTTATCGAATTGTTTTTACTTGAAGTTGTACAATGTGGTACGTAGAGATTCTTGTGCGAGAAAAAGGAAAACAAAAAGAAACAAGAAGTTGGTGAAAGTGTAAGTTTTATTCTATTTTAAATAGAATCACTTACACCACTTCAGGCAATGTTAAAGGACTGAATTTGTCACGAATATTTTTCCTTATTAATGCCACTTTGTACTCATGCTCTGAGTCCGAAGACGAGGAAAACAAAAAACACACGGAAACAATATAAATTTCTCAGATATAACATATTTTGATCGCAAAAACTTATTTTGAAATTCTCTTTCGCTTCCAATTTCTTATTACACCATATGTTTACAGCAATGTAAAAAAAGTAGTAGACAAAATAAATTGCGATCGAATGCGGGGATCCAAAAAATTACAGCGATCGAAATATTTCTCTATACAAAACAGAACTCAATGCCGAATGCGTTGATTTGGCCCCAGGTCGTTTAGTTTTCACAAATGAATCATTTTTGTTGAAAGAAAAAAATAATGTGGCAACACTTTGTCTATTGAGAAATAATCTCATATAAAATTGTCTTATTATTTTAAATGAAAAGATAAAAAACAATTTTTTTTATGAAAGTGTTTCAAAGTTACAAGTTCCCACATAAATACAATTGCGACATGTCTATATGTATTTGTTTTAATCTATACAATTTTCCTAAGTATCCTCCCTGTTTTGACTCTCTATGTTCATTTATAATAGAGCCCACATTTATAAACTTCCACAAACATGGGAGAGCACTCAAAAATGTGTTGCAAATTCAAACAATATTCTGATAATATTTTAATAAGATTTATTACGACATATCTTCAAGTAACTCTTAGAAAATAATCTTAAAAACTAATGTAATTAAATAGGATAACATAATGATCATGATAATCAGGACAAAAGTTAGCAAAGCTCTTGCAATATTTAAGAAATTATGCATTTTGTATAAAAGTATAACTTTAGCCAATGCGAGATTATTTTTAAACCCCTTTTATTATGAACGGTTGATGATTGTTTGTTGTATTGTAGATCTTCCAAACGCATATCAATCCATAAGTGATCGACGGACCAAATGGAGTGTCATCTTACCCCTTCTAGTTATAATCAATCATTTAAAATTAGTTTCAAAAAACCGATCGTTCCATAGTATCTACCTAATTTTGGAGAACGAACGCCGTATCAATACGTATCAATAGCGGGTGTTATCAACTCATTTCTATTAAGGAGGCTGACAAAATGTGACTACTAAAATAAGTGAATATGTTTATTTTACTTTAATAATTCTTCTACACAGTATAGGATTCCTAGACCCTTTGAATAGTGTGAGTGAATGTTATATCTTCATTGAAAAGGTAGATGCATGTATGTAATAAGTTTGTTTCTAGTTTCAATCGAATTGAATTCCTTTTAATTAATATAAGAAGCTGGATATTATAATAAATTAAGTTTTAATATTATTTACATTATTTCGTATGTGTAATCAATATAAGAAACACTTAAAATTCACCTCAGCATATTTTGTTTATATATGTATATCTTCTTTTTTTTATCAATAACTAATGGTGGTGGTAATTAATGATGGTAATAAACATTTCCTTGTAATAGTTAAAGGTAATTTGGTTTGAATTGTTATTCTTCTAAAAATTACTATCATTGAGAAAAACGTAAACATCAAATAAATTAACAAAATTTCAAACCAAATTGAAAAAGACAAAAATTGCATTGAATAAAATTAAAAACAATATTAAAAGCGAGACCAAAAAATCTTTGAAATCTCGTTTTCCGTTTCATCTTACTAACTCGGCATCAAATAATCTCATCATAATGCTCACAAAATCAAAAAGAAAAAAACAAGGACAAATATAAATAAAATAGTCGATAATATAGAAAAAAATGTATAATAACAGTAAGGAGAATTTACATACATTAATTTTTAAAAGAATATAAATTGGTCGCGATGATGAAGTAAATGTAGAAAATGCATATAATTTTCTGTTGGCGTTTTACACACAACTCCATCCATCCATCCATTTATCAATCAATCAACCAACCAAACATTAATATCATTAACATATTAAGATTTAGTAAAGCTGAAAAAACGTAATTTAAGAAACAACACAAAACAAAATCTTCACAGTTAACATTGTTGCATAACATTAATTCAAATGGAATCCCTTTTCTCTGGTTGCTGTTAGCAGACGTTCTTTCATGATTTCTTCTGTCTGATAATCAGGTAGCTTCAAATAGTGGACACAGGTATTCACCGAGGGATAGCTGCCTTCTCCAGCATCAACCTTTCGAACGACAGTCAAACGAGGATGAAGATTTGCCAAGCCCCCAGGCGGTAGGCTGCTGCACCCTGTTGTGAATTGGAGGAAAGCTTTGCGTTCAGGACCGTTCATGCTCATCAGTACATTCACGAATCGCAAAAATCCGGGGCTGCAGAAAATGAATTGGTTGCGATTATTATAAAAATTTACTATTTATTTGTGAATAACGATAAAATATGAAATAGTTTCAGCGTTATCTAAAATTCGACGTATCGTACACAAATATTCAACTTCCCCACTATGGTAAAATGTCTAATGTTCTAATGTGAAATGAAAACTTTTATAAAGGAAATAAATGTCAAATGAAAAATTTTATAGAGGAAATATTTTTCATTTCATATTTTCATAGAACAAGAATCCAGCTCCAGGTCGATATCTTTAAATTTACCAACTATTAAAGTTGTAAAGATTGATCATTTCTAGAATTCACCCACATTTGTTTCTTATTTCAAAATACACAAAATAAATTATTCAATGGTCAATGTTGAAACTGTTCAACTTTCAAATTTCGTACGCTCGACGTATTTCGGTAATATAAAGTAAAACACTTGTGGTGAAAAACGTCGATCAAGTACGTCGAGTTTTATATCACGCTGCAAAACGTAAACTACATTGTGTGCCCCTATGTGTTTTCAGTGATATTTTCTCAAAAAAAAAAAAAAAAACTCTTTACAGAGAAAAAAACGCTAGTCATTTAATCATTATTTTCAAGTTATTGTAAAAAGAAAAATAAAACACTCAGTAAAATCTTTAATTGTATAGGAAATTGCAATAAGTTTTTTTTTCAAAATGTCTTAAAATTGTTTTGAAAAAGTCACCTGTTTAAATTTTCAAAACTTTTGTATAATTTTACTGGATATAAACATACAACATCCAGTAAAATTATACAAAATATAAAATACCCGACCTCATTGCATGATTTCAATTTCAATTATCTATGTGATTTCAAGGAATACAACTATTCAAAGTATGTTCTTATGTTGCAAACAAAACTTTCATTTACATACATACCTATCTTTGGAATAGCCTAATTTCGGTTCAGTATAATTAATGAGATCCTCTCTGGTCCATTCGGGATGCTGTTCTCCACATATCATCATGCGTGCTTCGGCTGGACTGAAGGCGGCCAGTTTTTTCAAAGGAAACACTTCACAAAAGCCGCTGTGAAAAGCATCCAATTGCTTTGCAATGCCGTCTTGCAGGCAGAAGTTAATCAATGAGTCGCAGTATTCTTCCAGGTTGTTTATGTTCACATCGATGTCAGCGCCGTTTGGTGTCAATTCGACGTACTCATATCCGTACACAGACGAGCTGGGTAAATAAGTAAATGTTAATGCCATATCATCTAGTTTAACTTCCGTGCCATTACGAGTCCGCAACTTAAGATCTGCAATAGCAAGTTGACGCTGTTCTGGTGAAATATTTAAATCACATTCAATAGCTTGCTTCCGAGACAATAGATCTTGGATTTCTTTGATGAACTCATAGCGTATGGGATCGATTTCGGCAAGATTTTCATATGTTAAAATGCCATCGTACCACCTTGACTCGGATGGGTAGGTGGCGCCGAGCAGCTTTGAACATGTATCGGCTAATTCCGAATCTTCGGACATTACTGACGATACCATAACATCATCTGTCACTGTTGATGGCCTAACATGAGGATTTGAGCTAGCGGAAGGCATTTTATTGTGACACAACAACTGAAGAAACGAGTTCGAAAGTGGTAGATCTACCAAACGCATATCCTGTAAAACTTTAGCAATGAAAACACCCAAAAACCAGAAGTAACGGCAGGCCTTTTCACAAACATCCGAGTCTTGAGGTAATGGTGCGGGAAACAGTCCATTTTCACGGCGATTAACATAGTATCCAATAGGCTTAGGAGAATCTTTTGCTGATGCTGACGATGATGATCTGTTTTCTTCGGGGTCATTGTTGCTTTCGCCATCGTCAGGGATTGGTTGTTCGTCATCACACAACCACATGCAAAGATCAGACCTCTGTAATTCAGATGCCACCTGAAAAGACAAGAATAGTTATGAGATAATTGAGAGGTACTTTATCACACAATAGACGAGTTAAGTTCTTACCAAAGCGAAAAACTCCAATGTTGGACCTAAACCAGTTCCTTCTTCTCCCGTAAATCCAACCTCCAACACAGATTTGCGATTGCAATGTACCTTCATTACTTGCATGGCCCATTCTAGTAGGTTTTCATCGCGAGGCACTTTTACGCGTTCATGTTTTAGGCGCCCGACTCGGAATTCGTGCTGATCGTCCCGCCGTGGGCTTAAACCAGGCATCCGTTGTCGCTCCAACGTAGCATCTCTTTGCGATTGCAGGCACACGATACTTCTTGACGCTCCAAATGCAGTACAATTAAAGTAAAGTTGCCGAGTTTCAAATGGGAATAAGAAGGGACAAGATTGATTTAGATCTTCGCACCACGAAGGCAAAGAATTGCTTGACAATACTAAAGGATCTTGGATTTGTTGTTGTAGTTTGTTTGTTATCTTCTTGCTCATGAATATCTCGTGCGGTAGATGTACGTTTCCATGTGTGGACTCAGCAAGGATACTATTGGATGGTTCGTTTGTTCCCTGATTCAGCGTATTGAGTTGGCTCAATAGCTGCAATACATCTTCCACGGTGCAATTCACGTTCTCCGATGTAATGAATTCACCTCTGACAGGGGAGTTTGGTGACAATGTAGATGCCCCACTTTTCGAGGACACAACGGGAGTATTTGGACCGTCATCAGCATCAACGGTATCCTCTGGCTGCGTCTGCTGCACTTCCCTGTAGACAATGGTGTATGTTGGCTCCCAAGCTTTGCGGAACTTGTCAGTTTTATTCATTTGCGAAGCTTGAAGAAGCTCCTGTACTGCTCGGAATATTGTCCAGTCATTGTTATCCAATTCAATCTCTACGTCTGGAATTCCCCCAATGCTGGGTCCACGCAAGGACAATGCCAAAACTGGTTGTTGCAGGACTTCTTGATCGTGCGAACGCATCGAATCTGTGCTCGTACCAGGAGCAGGGATTTCCAATTCAGACGTTTGGTTGACATTGGTACGACCTGGTCTGGGATCAAAAGCAGGTATAAGTGCAGAAAACTGACGCTTCAATACAAACTCGTCGTCCCAGGATTTCCGTTTGGTTACGCCGGCTAAACGATTTTCCAGTGTTTCATCATCCATAAATGTTAACAAATTCCGCGACACCATGACTTGCAGTAGCGTGTTTCCGACCTCCTCGTATTCGTCTTCGTTTTCTTCGTCGTCGTTGTCCTCGTCCATATCGTCGTCGTCATCCATGTCGCCCAGTAATGCCGGAGCTCTACAACTCTCCAGAAAATCTTCCAATGAAACCTGTTCACTGTCGCTAGATGTTGATGTAAGACTCATGGTAAGAGCAGGATTGATAGATGTTTGCCCTTGTTGACCAGAGGAAGAGTTTCCTGTGCTGGAACTTACGTTGGATCCAGCTGTGTTAGCCGCATTATTCGATGACAAACTCGGATAGCTCTGAGCTGTACTCAAAAGACCAGAGTGGAAGTTAGATGAAAGTGCCAACTTCACTAGACTTGTAACAGAATTGGGTCCACGTGGAAAGAATGAATTGGAGCCCCCGCCAGAGTTCTGATTATTACGATCATTGGAATTACTGTTTGATGTATTCATAATTTGGTTGTTCTGTAAGTTGGTACCCTGAGAAGTGCGGCGACGAGCCATAGCGGCAAAGGTCTCCAATAACCCAGTGTGTGTTGATGTCTCCGACTGAGATTGTGTCTCCGAAGTTGAAGTCGTTGTTAGATTCGGCACACTGACACTCATCTGATTCGATACTGATACGGAAACAACATTTTCATTGTTGCCCCCACTTTCTGTGGGTGCTTGCACGTCCACCACTGTGATGGGATGACTGCCATCCGCATTTAGTTGTTCAGCGTAGACACCACTTTCTACTTGGGAATCGCTGCTGCAGTTCTTGTCGATTGTGGTGGCTACATCAGGTCCGCTGTTTGACACATTTGCTGTCGTATTCTGAGGACATTCGACACTGATGTTACTCATATTGTCTGCATTGTCAGTTTTATTATTGGATGATTTATTGACACAGGCAGCTGCCAGCAAATTAGAACCGGGCAGTGAGAGAATATCTGATGTCAGGATGTTGTTGGTATTGTTGCGCAACATGTCAACACCGTCCCTCATTTTGTCAATCATTTCGAGGGCATCTGTTGAAAACTGAGACACTCGCTGACTAGCCGATGACCCAGACCGCAAGTTTACCAATAGGCCTTTGCTTATGCTACCTCCAACAGAACCAGCCGTGTTATTGGCATTCATTTTGTTGTTTGCCTCACAGGTGGAGGACGATGAGTTGGACGTTCCGGCTGTAGTCGATGCAGTACCGAAATTGGTACCAAATATTGCTGCCAATGCATTCTTGCCACTGCTGTTCGATGTATTAAAGCCCGCCGGGGCACTTGTAATCGCTGCCAGCCCTATGCCAGGAGGATTATCGCTTAGAGCTAAATTTTCGGTAATTGTAGCCAAATCGGAAGCTACGTTGGCATTAATAGCTTGCATTGAATTGTTAATGGCCGATAAATCAGTTATATTATCGCGTTCTCGCAGTAGGGTAGAAGCCGTTCCTGGAGTTGCCCCGCCTGCTGCACCACTACTGGATACGTTCTTGTTCTGTAGACTTTGATTTTCATCTGTGGCCATAGCACTACCTGTGCCTCCAGCAAGCATTTGAGACTTAACAGATGAAAATACATCTTCGGTTATTGCCTCTACGGTTTGTTTCCATGCTAAATTATCGGCAGACGCGGCTTGATCTGGTGGTCCTTCAGAGTTTCGATTGATCTCCGTGGCTTCTGGTAGAGAAGGTGTGGAACTAGATTTCCTCGACGTTAGTGATATGCCCTTCTTAGAGCTATTGCCTGCAGTATTTGGAGCTATATTTGAGCCTCCCTCGAACATTGAAACGTTATCGCTGTTGGCTAATTTTAAATCATATTTACCCTCAGCGCCCATGCGGTACGAGTTTCTCACTCCGTGATCCCATTTGACGTCTATCCAGCCATTATGTATTTCCCCCGTCACAGTTCCCTCGCAGCCACCGTCCTGATCGTCCCAGCGCCAATCAACACCACGAACTACGCGTGCGCCAGTTGTAATATGCTTTAGCTGGGCACGGATTTGCCTACGCTCACGACGTATCTTGGCTTCTACTTCCTTGGATCCTTTACCAATGTCATCACAGACACTGACAACACGTCCATAAATTTCGAAACCACTCAAACTTAGATAATGTGTCTGGCCAGATGCGTTACGGCCGTTTTGCTGGATTCGAATGTGTCGGAAACCTTGATTTTCGTCCGGAGCACAGACAATAGGCCACGTGGCTGTGCTGCCAGGCTCAACGAGACTCTTATCGTCGGCATGAGTTACCAGTGTGGTCCAATTGACACCATCTTTTGAAGCCTGTAGCATCCAGTTTCGCAACGCGGATCGGCCGTAGCCTCTGGCATGACGCAGCGTATATGCATTTGGTATTATAAAAACTCCGAGATCTATTGCGAACCAAGCCTTTTTGTTATCTTTTGTGTGACAATTTACCGATATACTGTCGCGGGAGAGAATATCTTCCAGTTTTCCATAGGGCAATGTTTTGCCCTCCGAGCTGGTGACTTGTACAAGGTTGTATTGGGCCGGATTAACCCATTCACATGTCTTGCCATTCGAACCTATGTAATAAATAAGACCTTCTTCGTCGAAATCACAATGGTGCTTAAACACCATGCCCTGCTTGTGTTCTCTCAATTTCTTCAAATAGAGGAAAGTGCTGCGCTCCATGTCATACCACTGTTTAGCCACCATTTTCAGCAGATATTTCGACAGTTGGCCCACAGTGGCTAATGGTTCCATTTTTAAAGTTCTACCAGTACGATCAAAAAGTGTGGTCTCGCAAGCGGCCCGCTCCAAACGAAAACGTAGACGTTTTGTCAATATTTGAAGACCATATCCAGGACCAGGTGCGTCGTACAAGTAGACTGGCAGTTTTTCGGTGCTCTCCAAAACCGCTACTAGCTTCTGAACTAAAATTGACGCTGTGCTATTCCCCTTGGCATTGCAGTTAATGATGCATTGTTTAAAGATGTTGATGCGTTGCTTTTGCATTTTATTCATCTTGCTTCGAGACAAACCATTGTCCCAATAGTTTTTGGAAAGCACTGCCACTAAGGCCTGAACAAGTCCAGACGAGTGCATTTCATATGCGCTGACAACTCCATCCTCTTGCAGCAATTGTGACAACTCATTGAGAGCGTCGCGCAGTTTATCTTGCCACATGCTCTGCCCCGGAATCCTTTGTTCTTCCAGGGCCACTTCTATTCTCTTCACGATGCTCGTCAACTTGGCCACTGCTCCACGGGGTACAGCCTGAGCCGCCTTGAAATATTTATTGTAAATGTCACGAGCCATATTTTTAACCTGTGTCTTCTGAATTTCAGTTTTAGTCTTAATTTTCTTTTTCTTATTAGTGGACCAACCCGTCGCAAAGTCGGGACCCAGTGTTGTTTCGGCCGTAAACGTGTGTTTGGTACCCCTATTACTTTCGAAGATGAAACCGGGTAAATCATCTTGCAGTATAGTGACTTGATGACCTTCAGTATTTTGGATTTGAAGTTGGTTCTGCTTCTGTGACTGTAACACCCAATTACCAACCACTAACCGCAGGACGCTTACTGTGGGTAAAATCGGTTGAGAAGGTGTTCCCGGACGTACAGCAGAGCGGGCACGCAGGAGCTTTTCCAAAAACTCTCCTCGATTTTCTGAAACGAACACAAATGAAATATTACTCTTCAATAAAAGACACTGTTTATAGCGAAGCCTTTGCCGATATGAAATGCAATTAGAGTATGGCAAATAATACAATACTTGGTCGAAAACTCAAGGCGCATTACGGCTGACTTATAACATAAGTATAGAACTATTCATCGTAACTTTCACTATTATCGCATACACATTTTGAAATCTGTTTTCTACACACCAAACATTTTGCAACTTTTTTAATTGGAAATTGTTTTGGGATCGCTACCGTTCAGTTCAGAATAGTATTATCAAACTTCTATGTTGCTCTTAGATTTATCAACATCCAACATATATATTCGAATCATAATGTCGTAAAACATTTAATTTATGTTGTTTAATTTCAATGTACACAACAAATAAGATATCGTTGCCAGATTCACAAGTTATTTTCACCTAATTCTTTGTGAATGTATGAATTATCTCTCGACAGAAGTCATTTCGGTGAGAATGATATTCATGATTAGATTTTAGATGTGTTTTCCATTTTTCTTTCTAAGTAGAATACGTACCTTTATGCACAAAACTAAGTTTTGTGGCAATCAGTATTTATATATGTCATTGTAATGAGATATTAATTTTTATTTAAAAGACTGATTGATATGAATAGGAAAAAAAATTTGAAAGTTTTAGGAAAGTAATTGAAATGCGATAGGCTCTAACGAGACAAGAATGCTCATAAATTGAAGTGCGTATCATGGGAATTTCAATTAAAATATTTTGCGTTGATCGATTTAAGAAAATTAATTATAGTAGCCTTCCGCTTGTTGAATTTTAAGATACTTTTTAATATTCATTGGTTCAGACAATCTCTAAAGATACAGCCTAAAAATGTATATGTATGCTCAATTACAGTATCATGGTCACGTATGTGTAATAACTAATTTATCGTAATTAGCAGTCGTAATCCTGAACAATTTTACTTCATTAATCCAATAATAAAGAGTACGCAAGCAAATTCCCACAAATCTAGGGGTATAAGCCCTAAGTCAATGGAGTCTTTCTAAACTAAAGCAAGCATATCTGTGTGAAAAATAAAGTTAGATGACAGTCAAGAACTACTTCCAGATATTTTAAGAAATCAACAAAATAAATCAGATCATTACGATAGCGCAGAAATTGCACTGCTCCACCTTTTGCACGTCGATTAAAAGTAACCCCACCAGAATCAAAGAAAACCCCAGATATGATAATCATTTTACCCAATCTCAAGCATCAGATAATATTCAAAATCAGCCCAATCAGCAGATTGGCCGATTTCATAATCCCTAAACTAAATTAAACACTGAAACAAAAAATAGCCACTGATCTGCTTTGGCTAATCTCAAAGAACAGTTCATTAAAAGATATAGACTTTCAGACTCTCGAGTCAGGGAACTAACACTAAAAAATAAAGTATAAGCGGAAAAAAGTGGTTTGGCTGTGAGAAAAGTTTCAGAATTGAAATTTAGTAAATTAGTAAATTTGGGTAACGGTTAAGTTCCATTTTTTATTATGAAGAAATTAACAACGAACGATCTGAAGAGGTACGTAGATGGTTTTTAATATTTAATATATGAATATTACTTTGTCTCGTTACGCGCATGATGTAAAAGCTCGTTTTACGATGGGTGATTTTGCACTTGGCAATACTGTCACATACAGTGCAATGAGTAATGAATTCTTAATTCGTATTAGTCGAGGATTGATAAAATTAAAAAAAAAATCTGCCTATCATGCGTTTAGGGCCCCCATATCTAACCCAACTCAACTGTTAGATTTTTAAACTTATTTACTTATTTTTTATATAACCAGATTAGCAGAACAAAAATGTATATTTAAGATTATACAAAACCACTACATTTATTTACGTTAAAATGTTTTTTTTTTATCCCTAAGCCACAAACAAACCAATTAAATATTGATTGAAATTCTTAAAGAATGCAACCTATTCTGCAGTGCATAGTGAAATCGTTAAATAATCTTAAACACTATAGTTTTTTGACCCAAACCACAAATTTTACTTCGTATGTAAATCCGTCATAAAAGTACATTAAAGTAAGACACAACTATTTGAACTTCCTATATAGTCATCAACTTTTCAATATAACATACCTTTGTTATCTTGACCTAATTAATGCTTCGTGCAATTGATATTGCAACAGAATGGAAAGAATCATCAATTGTATTTAGTTATGTCAAAAAATGTTATTTTAGTGACTTCAAATAACAAAATAAACAAACATATACATACAATAACATAAGTATATTTATCTCATTCATGAATGCTGTATTAAATAATTTTATACATTCATAAATAATGGTCAACTGATTCATAAATATAATGTGTATTTAATCATATTTCGAATTTCACAAACAGTTTCATGAGAACTTCAGATTTTAGCAGATTCCAAAAAATTCACAGTCAATTTTTACAGCTCCCAGAATTTGTTTGCGTCCGCGAACGTGTTAAGCATTGCAATACTTATCCAAGCAAGATGAAATACATTTATTTCTACATAACCTCAAATGTCTCTGAATTAAATTTCAAAAGTGATTATTTAAAATATAGAAAAAAAAAAGAACCGTTGCATTTTTTCTTTGGTATTTTGTATATGAACGTTTTGAAGACCTTAGTAATAAGTCAATAACATATGCCGTTGCAAAATGAGTAAATCGGCTAGTATAAGCTTTCAAAGAACACATATAATATTATTCATTAGGCATCGATAGTAAGTCGCATTAATAAATAAGAAAGATGTTAGAGCTTGGTACAATGTTAATAATAAATACGCAATGCAATCATAAGAAACAAATGTACAAATAGCTAGAATTTACGTATGACAAAACAGAATACAAAACAAAACAATGAAAAACCAGAAAAAATCTCTCACCTTCACTATTCGAAGAATCCATGCCACGTCCCCTTCCTTTGAAAGTAATTTTATTAATACGTAGCAAAGTTAAAATAAATAATAAAAATAGAAAAGGAAAAGAAGAATGAACAAAAAATTGACCAAATCAAAAAAGAAGATATATGATTGGTTTTCCGTTAAATCATAAAAACTCAAAAGATACAGACTTGCAAAATTATGCTGATCTACAATGTTTATTTACGATAAACCATATCCCAGATGATTCTTGTTAAGAAGCCATAACCAAATGCCATAACAAATGTAAATAAATATCCTACAATGGAGTTTGAAAACCATACAATACAAATCGATAGTCACATATGTTTTTACGGATCTGCATTTGTCAACAAATGAGATTTGTGTGTGTTTTTAAACGACCGCACTTATCAATAAATGTATGACATATTCGATCCAGAATCAAATTCTTAAGGCAATAAATATTTTATGAAATGTCTGTAAAAGACACATGCATTTTATTTTTTTCTCTTACTAAGAAGGTGTCGGAGCTCTGTATATAGTCTTTATCACGGGAAAGTTCATAAGAAATATTACAAAAATATAAACTATTTTATTGCAGGAATAAACTTTTTGTAAACTTATACCAATATTACAATGATATGCTCATAAATAAGCGTTCTCTTTTTGTTACACAAGCATTAACAGCATATTATCAATGCATTTTTTAAACTTTAGGCTTTCGTATTCGTAAGCTTATTAAAAGATTATTCTTAATTTTTCTGGTATATTGGGTAGCAAAATTTTTTGTTTTTGTCACAAAATCGCAAAACTTTCAACATCAGAATATAGTTGCAAAGGCATGACACACAAGCCAACAAGTCTAGAGACCATTTTCTTCATTTGATGAAGGAAATAATAGAAAAACTACCTTATTTACATAAAAGAGATGGCTATCATTGTCAAGTACTTTTCTATTCAATTTTGTATGTAATATACGTCTATATACAGCTAAGGTCTTGGTCATGCATACAAATAATTTTTCAACTAAATAGTTCACAGCTTTATGCTTGTGTATATTGTTTTCGCTACCACAAAAACGTTCTTTTTTTTGATAAACTATTTCTCGTTTCAACTTTATGCTGTTACTATATTTTACTCATCTATATTCAGAGGCTTCGCTTTTTTGTTATCTGTTCTCCGTTATGGTTTGAGTCTACAAATCTGCTTTCATATTAAATCAAAGGCCATCAGTCTATTTGACTTTGAGACAGCAATTGACAAGTGTTTACATTCATTAGTTTTTCGATAACTCGTTTGTAAATTTAACAGTCGTTGTATACTACTTAGTTTTTTGCCGAATTTCATTATTACACTATGTTATTCCATATATTCTATCATCGAAAGAATTTTTCCTTAAATTTTCGATAGCCTAGAAGAAAAGTAATAACTTAATTCCTGTCAATTAAAAAAATGTGCCATTCTAAAACGTTCTGCTTAACATCCAGTATCACAAAAGTATCAATGGTTTTAGACTTAATTTAATTTTATCCATTTGTGGCGCTGAAAGGCATGCTATTAGTACTTAAACTATTTTTAAGTGGGTTGATTTTGTTTTGTAACGACGAAACATATCAAGTTTTACCTAATACAAAAATTTAATTGATTGGATCTTGTTGAGCGAAGGAAACCGTATATATGGGGTCGACAGACGGAAGTGTTTTTTACTAAATTGAAAAACTTCTTACACAAAACTTTATATATACGTCATCTCTTATGTCATGTTTATGTTGAAGCTTTTTGTAGGGTTAACCTACTTTAAGAGGATTTATTCGAAGTATAAGTAATGAATATGATATTTATAATCCCAATCCAACGGGTTAACCCCTTTGTATGAAAACGTACAGTTACCCTTATATTTTTATTAAATACATTAAAACACATAATTGTACATACCTGAACTGTCATTGCCATTTTCAGGGCTGCCGCTGGAGTACATTGTGGCCAATTTTCCATCGAGTATAAATCTGAACCAACCGTTAGATCCATTTGAAAGTTCCAAAGCTGCTGAATCGGACCAAACGTATAGACAGTCGCGTCCTCGACAAATACTCCATTCATGCCAGTGATAAGCTTTCCCTTGTAAAATTTCTTTAGCATCTTCCATAGCATCTTCTGGATGTAAATACAAAATTTAAATGAAATATGTTTATCGAACTTTAGATCACTGATTTATAATAATCGGGAATTTGTTGTTCATTTTTCAGAAAAATATAAATCAAAATACCTCATGCTCGATAGGTCTTTCAATTCATTTAAAAATAAATAAGTCGAAAAAGTGATAAAAAAAATTTGATGAAATTTGTTTACCTGTTTGTGCTTGTTGTCCCGGTGCTCCGGTGGTGGCTGTTGTCTCATCCGAGTTATTGGTAGTTACATTAATAGTAGCCTGTTTAACGCCATCAACTTCATTTTCTGTTTCCACTAAGGATTGTACTTTTGAAAAGACTCCCAATCGAGCAAAATGATCCAAAAACTCGTCTTGAGTCTTGTTCATGAGCTCTTCGATTACTGTAAGTACAACAAGATGGCCGTCATCGTCGTCCTGTAAAAGAAAATTAAGGCAATTCGCATTTGAAAATAAAACATTTTTAACGTTTCAAGGAAAATCAAAAACAAGAAAAAGGCCATGGTTTAAGCAAATTGTTATTTTAGCACAAAATATCAGAAAATTAAAAAAATGAAATGTCAAATAGTTGGTGTTGTAAAAAACGTTGACTTTTAAATTTTCTAAAGAAAGTGCAATAGAAATGTAATTGTTAATTCAGACTTACTTTCTGCTCGCTTATCTACATATTTACACTGGAGTCTTTAGTGTGCCTATGCAAGGAGCTAACGAATATTACATAAATGTATCAAAAGAGATGGTGAAACGTGGACATTTCGTCGTGCCTATACGTTATTTTTCTGCATGAAACCGAATTTTAGTCAATGTTTTTTTTTGTAGTTTTAATTCATTGTCAACGTAGTAATAAAAGGGTCTGTGCCGAGTCCAAGCTTACAAAAGGGATGACAGTGGTATTAACTACCGTAGAATATGAACGAAACGAACAGGGGAGGGCAAAGAAGGAAAAAATGTTATAATTGTTTGTGTTCAATATTGTTTTTTTTTTTCTATCAATATGAAATAGGAATGATTGAACATTTCTGGGCTGTTGAACATGAGACACAATGTCTTTATCAGGTAGCAAATAAAAAATAGTGTTTTTCATTCGTCATGTTTACATTTTTCTAAAATCTCTCGACTGGACAAAAATAATTTTCTGCTATAGACTTTCATTGTTTACCTTTGTCATGTCAACCTCCTACACTCGTTATTATTATCTAAAAACTTCATAGGTATCGAGGTTGAATACAATAGACCAGAGGCATTCGAATAAGATAGCTGCCGTTCCTGTTCCAAAGACCTAAAAATCACGTTTAACCAAATACTATATAAAATATGAAATCCGGTAAGCTGAAATTTTGGACGGTGTGTCTAATAAATGTGACTAGGAGTTGTCATTTGAAGCTTCTATATTTATATATATATATATGCCTCAACCATCACCCCATCATCATCGGAGACAGAAGGTGACATCTAGCTTTAATTTAATTTTTAATTATTCAACATTTCAAATTAACAGTTACTAACATTAGACAAGTAGAAACTACGACATACTAAAAAAAAAACAATATTTGCATTGAAATTATAAAAATTCACTACAAAATTGGAAAAAATTTTGCAGTCCTATTTCCTGACACTAAAGCATTTATGGGTCGTCGTGAAGCACTTTTTCGGACTAAAATACAAAATTGGTAGAAAAAAGTAATCGTATATGGGACTCGAAAACCCTAAGAGTTATTGTTGAGAAGCTTTAACGTGCGATTATTTAATACCGTGGTTAGTGTTTTGGCGAGGTCACTGAAATTTGCATTTTCGAAAATGAGGTTGGATCAACAGTTACGGTGCTATTTCATAAAAAAATTCCAAACCGAGTTTTCTCCCGAATAAATCATCACAAGTGACCATCGAGATCTTTCGATATAACATCTTGCGACTTCTCTTCTTTTGGGACCCCATGAAAGATATGACCAACGCCAGCAGATCAGGCGTATGTCCCTGAATTGTGTCACTAGGCGAATAGACTATCTTGGCAAAATAGTCGGATATCTTAGACTTTACGTCACGAATATTTACGCCCGATCTTAGGAGTCACAAGTTTCATAACAACTTGGACAACTGTTCGTCGCAAATGTTTATCTTTCCTCCGATATACTAGCAAGCTGTGCTTCCGGACTACATCAATTTGTGATATTAACAAGGACAGGGTACGGATAGGAGGCTTTCAATTTCATATTCCAACATTTCTGGCAATGAAGCAACAGATAAATTGACATGACGTGAAGCCGAGTTAATCGATATTGAAGTGGACCACTCTTTGAAGTTACCATCGTGCACACTTCTTCCGAGGGATATATAAGTTTTACTCCGGGAGGTTTCAGCAAAATTTACTAAATTAAAGGGGATGCAATGTCTCGAAGAAAACATCTCCATGGGTAAATCAGACCTAAAGCTTGTGGTTGGAATAATCGCAGGTCACCGTTACATAAGGGCCATGACTTATAAATGGGATGGCGACGACAACGATTGCTGCAGGCACTGTCAAGACAAGGAGGAATCCAAAAGGGTCAAACATTTACTTCGCCATTTTCCAACTTTTTTCGGTGTGAGAAATAGGCTTATGGGTTAGCAAATTATACACGATCTGTCTTCAGTTAGCCAGAAGACTAGATTACAAAACTACTTTTCTTTTCTCTTCTATTTAGGCTGAACCCAGTGGATTTTCGAAATTGTGGCGATTTTTTGGGATATTTTTTTAATTTTGCCATATGAATTTTGTGGAAATTCCATGATAAAGATTAAAAAAAAAAGTTTCATGAAAAATATTGGTGATGAGTGGCAATGTATTGGTGAAACGCTAGTTTAAAAACCATTGTCGATTAACGATTCACTGCACCCATTATTCAACGTTTGATTTGTTGCTTTACAAATTGCTGTAGACTTCTTAAATATTGTTTGTTCATTCGCATTAATATTGTAGTGTTCCCATCTTTTTTAGAGAATAAATGCAGTGAACTTTAAAACCCTTTCCAAGGAACACATATTGTTCCTATATTTTTACGAAAGATGTCTACCAGTAAACTGAAAATTATGATTTCATTTGCTTTGTTAATGGTTTGAGTAAAATACTGGTAGTTGTGTTAGATCAAGACGTAAAAACACATAACTCAGGCTCACAAGCATTAACAAAAATAAGAAACATGTACTCATTTCAAACCTAAAACTATACAAGAGCATGGAAAGGATGTAGGATTGATGCATTCCATTATTTTCAACTGTATATACGCCGATTTCAATATGGCATACAATACATAATGCAAGACACGGACATAAAGTACCCCTGAATACAATTAATTACCCTATATTCAGCCTTAGTTTCAGACGCTGTTATAATGTACCGTGGATCGGAAGCCTGTCCGGCAGCATATCGGAATGGTCTTAACATGCCATTGCATGAAGGATACCAAAGCGTTGGCCAACTGTAGCTAATCTAAATGTATAGTAAGTTTTAAAATAAAACTAATTTTTAAAATTAAATTATACCAAAAACAAATAAAGGATCGATGAACAATGTTTGAGTTTTGATTTTCCTTTGGAAATGAAATGATTTTTAAGTTCCATATTAAGTTATCATCACTAACCTCGTTGTCGAGAACACTGGCCACAACCTCCACTAGAAGTGTTCCTAAATTACAGTTCGAGCTAATTGGAACTATTGCTGCATCCGCTGATAATGTATCGGGTTGAGAATTGCAGAGTCCTTTCAGAACTTGAGGATTTGCATACTGCACCATCTTTTTAATTAGACCCAAGCTGGCGCGGCGAACACTACTTAGCATTGTGCCTTGAAATGTACGACAGAACATTGGCAAAAACAACTTAAGGTAGACTGGAGCCATTTCCGGATCTCCACGTGGCTCGATTGCAGTGTTATCATCGGAACCTTCCTTATTGACGAGGCTATGACCTGCAGCCATCCATTCACCTGGTGATTGTAGTATGGCAGCGACTTCACGATGTCCATCGTCATTACGTTCTCTTGCCTTATCTAAAGGTGTCTTTCCATCTTCGTCGCGCAAATCGGGATATGCACCATATTTTAGGAGTACTTTTGCAATACCAGGACGTCCAAAGCAAGCGGCATAATGCAGGGACGAGCTGCGCTGACCCTTGTTGACGTCGGCTCCTTTTTCGCACAAATATTCAACCATTTCCAACGTACCAAAAGCCGATGCCCAATTCAACAAAGTTTGACCAACATCATCCATACAGTTAACATCAATTCCTCCAGATTCGATAGCTTCCTGTAATGCTTCTGTGTCTTTTGAACGTATGCAATCTATTAATTGACGGTGTGTCCGTTCCACGGTAGAATCACTGCGACGAGTGCGGGAGGCCAATTGACCGCCTTGGCCGCCTGCCGCATTAACCCGGTTTAGAGCTTGCCGGCCTTCAAAAAGGAGTAAAAGTAACAGATCTGCCAATCTCATACAGTCCAACACGCATCTTTCATCTCCTTTTAGAGCTCTCTCAATAGCATCTGGTAATTGAGAGCGCAATAAGTCATGCGTAATTGAAGAAGAGCCACGGCATAGAGTCGACAAGAGTGAAATAGTTGTTGATATTGATTGAGAAGAACGGCTTGTGTCTCCAGATTGGGGTTTTTGAACAGATGCTGTTATAGGAACTGTTACAGCTTCTCCATGACCACCTGAGGTCGTTGGGCCAGCAGCGGTGGGTGTTGTAGCATTCGGTACGTTCAGACTTGTATTGCCAACAGGTCCTGCAGCATTACTTAAGCGCTTAAGTAACTCATTGACTAAACCATACTCAGCCAGAGGAGCGGGATCAACCCACTTGCGCGTAAAACGATCGGCGACAGAAGCGAAACATTTTAATGCTCCATCTGAAACCATTGGATCCTCGTGTTGTAACAGGGTACTCAGGCTTTCCACACAATTTTGAATGCATGGCGTGTTTGGCTCTACTTTGGTGCATAATCGAGAGACAACCGCCATCGAAGAATGGAGAGTATCTTTGTGAACTTGGGAACCACAATCTCGAATAAACGAAAGGACACAGTTTAGGCCGCCTCCATCGAACACAGCGCCAGCTTCCCTCGTACAAATTAATTCCAAGACTTTGATGCATTGTTCCGCTAAATCACGAGACGTCCGGGATGATAGATCGGCAACAACTAAACGATTGCAAATAGCTTTAATAGCTCCATCAATAGCTACGATACGACGTGTACATTCCGCAGACACGTCCAAGTAGTAAGTAATAGCACGAGCGGTAACTTCTAGGACATTTTCCGGTGCCATTTCATCAAGGAAAATTTTGCAAAGTGCTGGCAAAAATGTTCTCGGTGGACAGCTGCAGTAAAAAATAACACAAATTTGAATTATTAAGTCCGCTGCAATTACAGAAAAATAATGACCAACCTTTCGAAACATCTATCCACATTGTCTGACATTAACAAAAGCATACACAATTGTTCCAAAGCAATCAATTGCATATCACGCTCATCGCCCTGTCCCATTGAGAGCCATTCCAAAAGGGTCTCAGGATCAACGTCTCCCATCTGTAACAAGATAAAATAATTGAAAAAAAAAATGTAATTTTTTTATGGATATAATTGAAATGTAATGTAATACGCAGTAAAAAGTTAACGGATTAGATTAAAAGACAGACTAGGATAAGTTCGAATGTAACAGCGTTACCTAAAATTCGACGCACGCAGTCGACGTTTTTCACCACACAAGTGAAACAAATGTATTTATATGAAAGTCACGCTTTCAACGCTTTCAATATGTATGTAAATTTGTGTTAATTTTAGAGCCTTCTTGGAAAATTTAATGTTCTGACTAATCTATTAAATATTTTAAAAATGAATTCGAATATTGCCGCTAGCTTCAGAAATTATTGTCTAACAATTTTTGCAGTCCTGTGTAATTTTTAGGATCCGCGAACTGTTAAAGAGTCGCATACTCCTTTAGAAAAAAGCGGAAATTTCTGAAACCCAAAATTTTTTAGGGAAAGTTAATTTAATTTACCTGAGCGGTATTCGATCTAGCCATAGGTAAAAGTATCAAATTCAATTCTACTGTACTATCCAGTTTTTCTAGGCTCATCGAAAATGAAACAAAAGTAGTTGCTCAAAATCCAGTTCTCTAACAGTGTTACCTAAAATTCGACATAATTGGTCGAGTTCCTTCAACACACAAGTTAATACATGTATTTATATAAGAGTTATAGAAATACGTCGGACGTACAAAATTTACAATTTGACAATTGAATCAATTCTTTCTTGTGTGTGTTGAAAAAAGAAATAATAATACAAAAATGTTTATGTTTGTAATTGTAAAATGTAACAATTTAAAAAAAGTATCAATTTTTACGTTTTACGTTTTAATTTGCTACATTATAAGATATGGACCTGACGTAGTTGGGTAATACGGACGTACAAAATATTTTACCATAGTGGGAAGTTGAATATTTGCTGTTAGAACGTTACCTAAAATTCAACAAAGTGTCTATTGTATTTAATAGAATAGAATATTGTATAAATAGAATTTAAATTTGTGTTTATTTCCGAAGAGACAACATCATTGTTGCGCACATTAAAACAACACGAAATCCGATCAAATTACGTGATTTTTATGAACATTATAATATTATTAAATGGGATTTTCAAAAATTAATAATAAATGATAGCTATTGGGTCAATTATATGGCATGAAATTCTTTCCGGGGTTATCTGAAGTTGTACAAAGAGGTTGCACACAAAGTCGTATCATTTGTGGCCGAAGCCACGGTCGTAACGTGTGCGGTTTGCATTAAAGCTTGTGTTTTAACCTTGTCACTTTTCAAATTTTCTCTTCCTTGTAAATAAAATGACGTGCACTTTTGGAAATAATTCTACAATGCGAGTCTATAGAATTGAAAATGGCGACATAGTTTGTTAATGGGGATTGTATATTAATCTGCTATCCGTTTCTATAATGGTTCAAAATGGACTCAAAGTTGCATGTGATGCAAAAGGCTGTAAAGTTATCAACAATGGTGGCGATATTATTATTACGGGCTATTTAATTGAAGGAATGTTTCGCATGAGTTATTCAAGCAACAAAACAATCGTTTCTCAAAGAAAGATCGAAGAAGGTATTTTTTAAAGAAAACTGCATCAGAAGCTGTTATATAGACAGTATATTCAAATTCACTGTAAGTACGGACGCGTTTTATTTTTCGTTGCTAATGAAAGGTGTTTTTTTTTCACAAGCAAAGCAAAATAAATAATATAAAAGCAAACAGTACGCTATTAAATAATCTCAGGAAATATAATCTAAAAAAAAACCTGCTAAAAAATCCTTTTTATTAAGAATTTTTGCAAAATAGTTTTTTTTTCTACTTTATCCTCTTTTTCCCCAAGCACATAAATCGGTTTGTTATAGTGTTAACAACAACAAGTGTATGTCACTCTCTCATACGGAAGAGAGAAATGTAAGTGAGAACGGGCAAAACGTATACCTTAAGTTGACGTCGACAGATTTCAGATCGACCGCGCCAAAACGCCACGAAAGCTGGTATCTTACAGCTAAACCCCAAAGCCGTTCTAAATCGGCATCGCCGAGAGTTTTTCATGACAAAAACTTGCCAGGTGAGACTACTCCCAACGAAACAACAGAAATGTCATATAAACAAAACAATGTAAACACGCCCAAAATAAATTCTATAAAGGTGCTATCACACGATGCGATTGTACATCAAGAAACTATCGCTTCAAGTAAGCATGCGTCTCTTGAAAAAAACAAGAAGCAAAACATAGTTCCTCCAGGCATGGACCGATATGTCTTAGTAACAAAGCGTAAGGCTAGTTCTAGAACTCCAACCAAGGAACCAAAAGCTAAAACCCTAAAGTCTATAAACAATGACCGCAACAACAGATTCTCAATTCTCGGCTCGAATAACGAGACTGATGAAATGATACAACCGGTTAGATCCCAAAAACCTCCCCCACTATATCTTCGCGAAGAAACCACAAACAATCTTGTGAACAAACTCTCCCAAATATTGGGTAAACCTAATTTTCACGTGGTATCTCTTAAGAGAGGAAATCTCCAAGAGACGAAAATACAAACCTATACTGAGTCGCATTATAAGGACCTAGTTCGTGCTCTGGATTCTGAGAAGAAGAATTATTACACCTATCAGATTAAGAGCTCAAAAGGACTAGTCGTCGTCATTAAAGGCCTTCATAGTTCTACACCCATAGAGGACATAAAAGATGCTCTCGCAGCAGAAGGATTCGAAACAAAGTCTATCATCAACATTTTCAATAAAGATAAAATTCCGCAACCTATGTTTAAAGTAGAACTAACATACGAATCTTCGCAACTAAAGAAAAAGGGACAATTTCATCCAATTTATAGCCTTAGGCTTCTTTGTAATCGCGGTGTGAAAATTGAAGAACCTCAAAAAAGAAAAGGCCAACCTCAATGTACAAACTGCCAAGAGTATGGGCATACCAAAACGTACTGTAAATTGCTATCGGTTTGTGTTACTTGTGGTGACCTCCACAAATCATCGGAATGTCCACATCCCAAAACTGACCCAAGCGTCAAAAAGTGCAGCAATTGCGGTGGAAATCATACTGCAAACTACAGAGGATGTCCTGTATATATCCACTTAACAAAATCTAGCTTAGCCACAAAAAAGCCTACAAGCTACCGGGTACGGGAAAATCCACAATTTAATATCAAAACAGCTGAGTTCCCCGAGCTAAACAAGAGGAATGAAACCACCGCTCCTAATTACAATCTCCCCTCACAGAATATGCAATACTTATATTCTGATACTTTGAGAAATGACTCACCTAACTATAAAAATTCAAATATAGAATCATCTATTGAAAAACTAATCGTCACCATGAATTCTTTTATGACAAGTATGCAAAGCATGATGCAAGATATTGTGAGAAATCAATCTATGATTATGCAAATAGTTTTAAAACAAAAATAGATAAAATTCGAATCTGTTTTTGGAACGCAAACGGCTTAAGCCAACATAAACACGAGGTCGAAAACTTTATTCACTCACTCAACATACACATTTTACTGGTATCTGAAACTCATTTCACTTCTAGAAACTGTTTTAGAATAAACGGTTACAGTACATACGACACTAAACACCCTAGTGGGAGAGCTTGCGGTGGCACCGCGGTGATAATTTCTAATAAAATTCAGCATTACCCCATGCCAGAATATAAGTTTGACCACCTACAAGCTACAACAGTTGCACTATCTTCAACGAATACAGCTATATCTGCAATATATTGTCCTCCGAGACATAGTATAAGCAAAGATGAATTCGCACACTTTTTCTCATCTCTTGGTAGTAGATTCATTGCAGCTGGAGATTATAATGCCAAACACACCTTCTGGGGATCTAGACTTATTACACCCAGAGGTAGACAGCTTTTAAACTCCATTTCGTCCGCTAAACTGGACGTGTTATCTACTGGCCAGCCTACTTACTGGCCTTCAGACCTGCAAAAACGTCCTGACTTAATTGACTTTGCGGTAACAAAGAATATTAAGAGGGAACAAATGTCCGTGGTACCCTCGTTTGACTTGTCGTCAGACCATTCCCCAACTATAATAACATTAAATGATGTTCAACTCGCAACTTCCCCGGATTATCTACCAAATAAATATACAAACTGGATGAAGTACAAAAAATATGTCAGTACACATGTGAATTCTAACACTCCTCTAAAGTCCGGAGAAGAAATTGACAATGCAGTTAAAATATTTACTTCGATAGTCAACACCGCTGTCAATGTTGCCACTCCCACTAAATTTTCAAAACTAGAAAATAATTCCCATAATCCATCGACCATTCGAAAACTCGTGTCTGATAAAAGGAAGGCCAGAAGAGAATGGCAGAAGCACCGATCACCTAGGTTTCGGGAAAAACTAAAAGAATGTGAAAAACTCTTACAACAAGCACTCAGATTAAATGAAGAGCGAAACCTAAAAATATTCCTAAATAACCTGGATCCCACAGAGAGAACTGACTACAGCTTATGGAAAGCCACAAAAAACTTGAGAAGACCTATCGCCCACGAATCTCCAATTCGCCTAGAAAATGGGACTTGGGCAAGATCTACAGAAGAAAAAGTAAACGCATTTGCCGAACATCTTGAATCTGTATTTACCCCAAATCCCGGACCATCGACAGTTGTTCAACCTTTAATTGACGACATTGTTCCGAATCCAATACGATTTTCTCTAAAAGAAATCGAAAGTTCTATAGCCTCGATAAAACTAAAAAAATCCCCGGGTAAAGATAGAATTACTCCAAACATGCTCAAGAAATTACCAACACCGGCCGTTAAATTATTGTTATTTATATTTAACAGCATTCTTCGAGTAGGGTACTTCCCGTCTGTATGGAAAGAATCTGAAATAGTAATGATTCCGAAACCTGGAAAAGATCCAACGCAGGTAAAATCGTATAGACCCATCAGTCTTCTATCTATACTCTCAAAGCTGTTCGAAACAACTTTACTAAGGAAGTTAACTCCCCATATTACAAATAGCAGTATTATCCCCGACCACCAATTCGGCTTCCGTAAGAACCACAGTACTATTGAGCAAGTGCACCGCATAGTCACAAACATTAGAATGGCATTCGAAAGGAAGGAGTACTGCTCGGCGCTATTTATAGACATTTCCCAAGCGTTTGACAGAGTCTGGCATCTTGGAATTCTATACAAAATTTGTGAAACTCTACCTAAAAACACTCATAAACTTTTTTGTAGTTATTTGTCAAATCGTACGTTTGTTGTTAAATCGAAAGACATACTTTCAAATTCGAGAAAAATATTGGCTGGCGTCCCACAGGGTAGTATCTTAGGACCAATTCTGTACGTGTTATTTACTGCCGATATGCCCACAACCAATGAAACTCTAACCTCAACGTTTGCTGATGATACTGCTTTCATTAGCATACACAAGGATCCTCTGATTGCGTCGGAAAAACTACAATACCATGTATATCTTCTCGAAAATTGGCTGACAAAATGGAGAATATCAGTAAATGCCAGCAAGTGCATACATGTTACTTTTGCTCTAAGACGTGAACTTTGCCCCACGATAAAAATCTTTAATACTCAAGTTCCACAGAAAGATACCGTAAAATATCTCGGAATGCACCTGGACCGAAGACTTACATGGAAGCAACACATCGATGCAAAAATCACACAAATTAAACTAAAAAAGGCCAATCTTGAGTGGTTAATTGGTATACGTTCTTCTATTAAATTAGAATATAAAGTCCTATTATATAAGACTATAATAAAGCCAATTTGGACGTATGGCATACAGCTCTGGGGTACAGCTAGTGCCTCTAACGTAAGTAAACTACAAAGAAGACAGTCGAATATTCTTCGATCTATTACAGGTGCACCATGGTACATAAGGAACGCAAACATCCACAAGGACCTAAATATACTTACTGTTGAAGAAGAAATAAAGAAGCTTTGCCGCAGGTACTTAAACAAACTATCCGAGCACCCAAATAACTTGGCCCGCCAACTCCTACTATTCGGAGGCCACGATAGACTGCGCAGACGTGACACTCTTTCTATCATATAGTTTATTTTTTTTGTCTTACGCTCTCATTATTTTCAGCTCTTGTCTGGCCAATTGAACGTCGCCCACTTTTATACTTCTACAGGTAGTAGTATGCTAAATTGGAAGCTGCTTCTGTGAAGAAATCGAAAAGACTATTACTGTAGTCCGCGGGAAGATTAGTGAAGAAATCGATAAGACTATTACTGTAGTCCGCGGGATGATTAGATATAACTGTATCTAAACAAAGCAACATTATATCCGTAAGACTATTTCTGTAGTCCGCGATTCACTTAGATATATCTGTATCTAAAAAAACTAAACTAATCTTAACTACCTATCCAATCAATTCACGGATATAACTGTATCCACAAGCCCACAAAATAACACACATCTATATTATAAAAAAAAAAAAACAATAATAATTAAAGCATGAAAAAAATATGGGGTGATTGTATTGACAACCTCCCTATAAAAATATTAGTATATAAGATATGAAACCTTATTGTTATTTTCATTAAATATATGAAAGATTCAATAAATTAAACAATAAGAAAAAAAAAAAAAAAAAAAAAAAAAAAAAAAAAAAGAAGCTGTTATTGGAGTAAATTGTGGAGTCAAGTAAAGAAAATTGTAATACTTGCTTGAAAGGAAAAAATAACGATAATAGAACTAGAGCTAATGGCAAATTGGATTTAATTCACACCGACCTCGGTGGTCCAACGAATACAGACTCAATATTGGTTCTAAATATATACTAACTTTTATAGATGATTACCTGGGGAAAGTTTTTATATACTTTCTAAAACGCAAGTCTGAAGCATGGTAGAATTAAGAAGGTATAGTCAAGAAGGATTAAATCCGTGAGAAGGGATAACGGAACTGAATACTGTAATAAAAGAATGAGACCCACACCGGGCTTAACAATAGACTATACTAATTATTCTGTTGCTAGATCTAAATATACTTTAGAGTCTCGTAGACTGCACAATCGTTACCTCAACAAGATTAAAAATAATTTTAAACCAATCCTACATCTTTTTATGATTTTGTTAACCTAAAACGAAAAGTTTCCCCAAAGCCCTCAGTATTGAAATATAACAATAAAGAATTTGTCACAGGCACAGATATTGCTGAATGTTTCGCAGATTTTTTTTTTGCCACAACCTATTCCAGTACATCTTTCCAAATTAAAGATTCGTATCCTTATAAGTTATCACAGGCTGATCAAATTTGTATGCCTTTTCTACAACGTCTACCGGTGTTCAATGGTCTGCGTAGTTTAAAATCGATTAAATGTTCAGGCCCGGATGGCATACTTAATATGATTCTTAAATATTGTTCAGAAACATTGGCACTTCCTTTAACTATAGTGTTTAATTATTCACTTAAATTTGGTCACTTTCCTACTTGCTAAAAAAATCTTATGTTATACCTTTACATAAGTCTGACTGTCTTACTAATGTGTCAAATTATAGAGGAATTGCAAAACTAAGTGACATTCCAAAATTGTTCGAACATTTAATTAATGCAGTAACAAATCTTATACCATTTACGTCAACAGTAATAAAAGGATTTGTTCAGCGTAAACAAACTGATACAATTTATACTGATTTTAGTGAAGCTTTTGATAGGGTTAACCATGAACTCCTAATATATAAATTAAATTATATGGGTTTCAACACAAACTTAGTCAAATGGATATCATCTTACAACATAGGTCGCAATAAGTTTTGTTTGAAGGGTATCTATCCAAAACGATTAACGTTCCATCGGATGTTCCGCAAGGAAGTCACCTTGGACCGGTCCTCTTTCTTTTATTTATCACCGATTTACCTAATTCTATAAATTACTCGAAATTGTTAATGTACGCAGATGATGTTAAATTATACATTTCCCATAATTGTGATAAACAAGCTAGTTTACTTCAAAACGGATAGCCTTTTTAAATGGTGCAGGTTAAATTTTATGGATTTAAATTTAAGCAAATGTAAGCACATGTGCTTCTCCAGATCTTCTTCTCTGATATTGCAATATAATATAATGACGGTCATTCATTATCAACTGTAGATTCATTTGTCGATCTCGGCCTCATGATGGATCCAAAATAAAATTTTAAAAGCAATGTAATAACAATGATAAATAAAGCAAATTGTGTTTTAGGTTTTGTTAAACGATGGACCAACGAATTTTCTGATCCATATATACGTCTCTTGTTAGACCTATATTAGAATACGGTTCTGTTGTATGCAATATGCAATATACTCAGATAAAATACAATCCGTGCAAAAACAATTTCTGCTATCTGCCTTACGAGGTTTACATTGGAATAGTGATTTTGTTTTGCCTTTTTATGCTAGCAGGCTAGTATTAATTAGATTGCCTACACTTAAAAGCAGACGTATTATGTTGGTACTGAAAATATTAAATATTCAGATTTCCCAATGTCATATATTAGAATTAATGTTCCTGATACTGATTTATGCCAGGTGCAAAATTGGAAAATGTTGGTCCAGTCCATCGTTTGTCCCTAAAAGAATACTTTAGTAGGTGACACCAAAAAAAGGATCAATTCCTTTTTACAAAACCAAAATAATCATTATTTTATAAGCCTCTTTCAACAATTTTTTTTTACTAAACAATAATATAATACTAATACTCTTTCACTTACCTTTACGCTTTACTCCTCTCCTTTTCACAGTAGACCACGTTACAGTAAAAATCTACCACGATTTTTTGTTTGACCTGAAAAAGGACACATGTTTCAATGAATAACCTGCGAGATTTAGAACGATTATTGTACAATAAAAGGTTAGAATACTTGAAAATAAGGAGGGATTGAAAGGATATATATTGCAACAAATATCAGAAAATTAAGAGGAATTCAATTAAATCAGAACCCTTACGAATCTAAAATGAAAAATAAAACAGTAAATACAGGTCGAAATTCGATAACCACTCGAAAAAAAAAATAAATGCTTATAATGGGAATTTATGTGAAGTATGAAGCTTTTTTTAACGCGTTTTATGGATTTAGTGCAGTGATAATTTGGAATCAAAGGCAACTTATATATGATTGGAGTTTCGTCAAATTTGATGGAGGCATTTGTACCTCTCTTTCCAAATAACATTGCAATTGGCTGCATGATATGATTTCGAGAAGGATTATATTAAAAAATAAACATGTATCGAAGCAATAGAATGGGAACCAATTTTTACCAAATGGAGAAATTCTGTTCAATTTGCAAAAATCCATCAAATTTGGGCTCAATTAATATTTGGTGGAAAAAACGTGAAATCGGATAATATGTTTGAAAGCTATATCCGAATCCGGACCGATCTCGCTAAAATTTTGGCAGAGATATTTCTGAGCAGTATGAGATATCTGGTACAACATTTCATTGTTAGAGAGTGCATGTTACGAAAGTGAGGGACTTAAATACCAACTCGAATGAAACATATGTATGGACCGATTTTCACTAAATTTTATGTACTTGCTTCTGAATTCGATCCGATGTGTCGAAATACATCCTATTTAGATGACTACTAAGCATATGGGGTACAACAAAAATGAAATCGGACGAAGATATATATTTAAGCTAGTCATGTATAGAAGTTTTTGGAACAGTCCATGATCCTATGGGCTAGGTTACTGTGCAAATTACAAATAAATAAATAAATCTAAGTTTGGACATATTCTCACTATTTTCAATAGGGTCCGCCCTAGGGCCAAACAAATAATCTGTGGATAAATTCATCTCAATCGACATTAAATGCGACCTGAACTTTGTTTACAAATATACATGGACAGACCGACGGACATGCATTGATCAACTCAGAATGTGATTTCTTGAAGATCATAATACTCAGTATAGACACAAAACATGTGATTTGTTCCCAAACCTGCAAGAATCTACTAGTTTTGCAATTTTTTGATTAATAAAGGGAAAATCGGTTATGGTAGTAAAAACTTTTACATTCTTGCAGTTCTGGAACAGACCAATGATTCGAATGCTGAGGTTATTTCACAAAATTAAAGTGACGATCGAAAAACGAAGATGTGCGTGACGTCTGTCCGGCGTGTGATGCAGGCCCGCACAATACGCTGCACCTCTTTAATTTCACAGCCAAACCTACCCAGAATGAAACACATACATGTACTACTGCTACAATAACAACAACAAAACATGTGATTTGTTCCCGAACCTTCAAGAATCTACTAGTTTTGCAATTTTTTCGATGTAATAAAGGGAAAATCGGTTATTATAGTAAAAACTTTTACTTTCTTGCAGTTCTGGAACAGACCAATGATTGGAATGCTGCTGTTATTCCACAAAACAAAAGTGAAGAAAAACTATATTGTTTTATCCCAACATGTATTGCCCGTTACTGTCGAAAAATTATTTTTTGCTGACAGCGTTACCTGAAGTTCGACGTACTCGGTCGACATTTTTCAAAACATAAGTTAAACACATTCACATGAATTTTACAGAAATATGTAGGGCGTACCATGTTTCAAAGTTGAACAATTTCAAAATTGACAATTGAATATTTTTTGTGTTAAAAATAGAAACAAATAATACAAACAAATGTGAAATAATTGGTTGAATTTTAAAAATGATTTTTACAATGTTATTAGTTGGTAAATTTTAAGACCTTAAATTAGGGACCTTGAGTATTTGGGTAATTTCTTGCCAAAATTTAACTGTGGCTGCAAATACTTAATAATAATTGCAGTGAATAACTAAGGTCAGTTTCATTGGATGATGGTTTTTTCTTTTAACACTAAAGTAATACATACTTGCTCTGTTCCAGAACCTGCAAGAATCTACCAGTTTTGCAATTTTTGCGATATCGTAAAGGAAAAATCGGTTATCGTAGTAAAAACTTTTACATCCTTGCAGTTCTGGAACAGACAACAAATATATTTAGAAATGTGGTGCTGCTTTTTCCTTACCGCGGAAAAAGGTTCCGCACAATCGGCGTGTTTTTCTAAAGTATAATAGCGTTTTTCGGTTATCATGGAAAAATTTCCACACTCCACTGAATTGAAGTTTTATATTTTACATTTTAAAAAAAGCAACTAAGTTCGGCCGAACTTTTAACTCCCTCCACTATTTGGAAAGAAATTGAAAAAAAATCGTCGAAAATGAATGAAATGAAAATAGTTACATGGGCCTATACGAACCGGAGAACCTGCATAAGTAATTTTTTATCATGGCCTGTAGTATCGATTCCGAACTTCAAATACGAAATTTGAAAGAATTCCGGTGGATAAAGTCGCTTATATCATCAAAATATCGAATAAAGGGAGGTTACATTGTATGTGTGATATACGGAGACCTGCATAGACAATTTTCAGTAATAGACTGTTGTATCCATTACTAATTTCAAATACGAAATTTGAACGGTGAATAATGTTTCTAAAATCATAAAAATACCGAATATTGGGAGGTACCGTAATATAGGCGCTATTCAGAGACGTGGATCTGCCTAAGGAAATTTTAGTCATAGGTTGTAGTACCCATTTAAATCTTCCAATATGAAATTCAAAACAATTTCGGTTAATAATGTCGCTAAAATCGTCAAAATACGGAATATTGAGAAGTACTGTTATATTGGGGAGATACGAAAACGTAGACAACGAACTGAACCCGCCTACTGACAAAATGCACATGTGTGCAAAATTTTAGCCTTCTATCTCAAATCGCTCGAAAGATAGCGTGATTACAACAGACAGACAGACATCGCTAAATCGACTTAGAATTTTAGGCTGATAAAATATACAGGCTGAGATGAAAAAACTGCAAACAACTTCAGACTGCTGTCATTTCTAAGCCACTCGTCCGACAGTTGTCAAAATTATTCCAGTGACAACTCATTATATTGTTTACAAGCGTAAAAAAGCATTTTGGTGAGAAAAAAAATTATTTCTGATGAAATTCAAGAGTGATAGTATGATTTCTTTATATTTGGATGGAAAACCGCAATTGGCTATTGTTAGAGCATTCTAGCATTTATATGTGAATAAATCGTTTGTGTCTCGTACCATCCCTCGTTACCGCGAAACTGGTAGCGTAGCCCGACGTCAAGGAAGTGGACGGAAGAAAACAGCAACATCAGCAGAAATAATTCGAAAAGTAAAGAAGCGACTTGATCGAAACCCGCGTCGAAAAATGGCTCGGAAGCTGAACATATCGCAATATTCCATTCGGCAAATATTGAAAAATGAGCTCGGGATAAAGCCACTAAAATTGTGCAAGAACTTACACCGCAACAGAAAGAAAGTAGACTCAAAAGAGCTGTTTCGCTTGGGCGAGAGTGGTGAACTGCCGAATTTGGTTTTCTCCGATGAGAAAACATTCGTTGTCCAGCAATTTGTAAACAAACAAAATAATCGTGTTTACTTGCCGAATATTATCGCGAAAATATTCTGGAGGGTGCATTAGAGCCTTGGGCACGCAAATATTTTGGCCGCAGCCCTTGGACATTCCAACAGGACTCGCAACATCCCACTCATTCATATCCAGCGCACAATGGTCACCAAAATCTCCGGGTACCAATCCGTCGGACTATTGTGTCTGTAGTATTTTGGAAAGCAAGGTTGGCACTAAAAACTACCAAAGTGTCGATCACCCCAAGCAAGCGTTTCGCCGGGAATGGGCCAAAAAACCGCAGAGCAACATTCGGGTAGCGTGTGACGGTTTCATTGGCCGTTTGAAGACCATAATTCGTGCCAAAGGTGACCAATTCAAACAAATCTAAACTTCTTCTAAATTTTGATGCAATTTTTCTGATTTCAATAAAATTTAAAAAAAATGTAAAAATTATGGAGTTTGACTTTGTTGCAGTTTTTTTATTCCACCCTGTATGTGTATTTTGTGGGGCTGACATACATATTTCGAGTAGTTATAAATGGAATCCTCCATAGCATGGTGGAGGTTATAAAAAGGAAATTAAGTATTATTTGTATGACCAAATCGTTTACGCAAGTCAAAAATTATCTTGAATCAAACTTGTATATTACTACCAGCACAGTCAAAACTTAATTTTAAACATTTTTGATATCACGAAGTGATTGAGTTTAATATTGCACAAAAACAAAAAAAAAAAAGTACAGAATTAACAAATGAATAAGGGAGCGGAAAGAAAACAATTATATTGTCTTTCCATTGTTGGTTTTGCGTTACAAAAGCAAATTTAATACATGAATTCTGTTCTATAATACATGTTATATTGTCCCTATTTTTTTTACTAAATAATTTAAACTTCACTTTTTCATATCTCTTCACAAACAATTTATTGACGAACTGTATTTAAGTACCGCATACTACACATTGACAACAACAAATTAATGAGAAAAATGAATACAACGTTGACGTGTACGCAATAATTAACAAAAAATCATAACAGCGCTGAAAAGAAAGAAAACAACGACGAAATTACTATTTGTATTGTATGCATGTATGAGCATCGATATCTTGGTGGTGGTGTCCAACGGAATAAATTCCCTGACACCGCCTTTGGAGAATCGAAAATTCAAATGTCTGTGATAACTATTCTGATGATGTGATATATTTATATAGGTATGTATCCATATAAATACATATAAACTTACAAAGAAAATACAACGATATTAAAAATTGCGCAATATAGGAAAGCTGTGAAAATCCATTGACTGTGAATCTGTCCTCAATGTGCGCCGTCTGCCTTCATTGTCACAAGGCATGGGTCGATATAATCTCCCGTGTGCCCTTCCTTTTAACTGTTGATTCGCGTCTATTGATTATCATCCGTGGTATAGCTAGGCATAATGGCTACTAGCGAAACAAAAAAAACTTTCTACAAAGGGCAACCTAGCAACCTACAAAACCAAAGAATAAAAAACATGACAGCAAACTAACAACTTAGAGGGTAACAGGCAGACAGACAGATACACCAAACAACACGAACACAAACATCAGACCAACCATAAGAAAGCGTACAAAATGCAAATGGTTGTTTTCGTCGTCGCACGAACGGCCATCGGTCAAAGAGGACGGGGCATCTTACCTTATGGCTCATACAATTTTTTTATTTTTTCATCAATAATCTTAATAATAGTAATTGTTTATTAACAAAATTGCAGCGTATTCACTGCTAGTGGTGACAATCGAATTAACTTGTTGTGTAATTAAGGTATACATTTTTGAACATCAATTTCTTTATACGAACGATTCCTCTTTCAATGAAAAGCGAACGGTATCCATCAATAAGTCACAAAAAAACTATGGATACTAAAGTCATTTCAGATGTCTGTAATTTGTACAATTACCAAACATTCCATAGTAGCAACTTACCTATTGTTTTATTTTATTGAAACATTTTTCTTGTTAATTTTTTACCTATTCCCCAATCGCAATAACGCAAAAAAGGAAATGTGTAATGCTTATTTTTTTTTCTTTTGTGGTTGTCCCTTGGCCCACAATTTTGCAGATATGGTTACTTTTTTCTTGCTACAAATTCTTTCTTTCTTCAAGAAGCTATTGATTTTTCTGGAATCAGAGTGTTGCACACGTTTTTCTTTTCCCCTTTTCTTTATACTTTAAGCAAAAGAAATTTCACAAAATTTCAAATTGGAAAAAATTTTCTAAGATCACAAAAATTCTTTATTCACTGCAACGTTGCTCGTGACAGTAGCAATGCAACCACAGTTGTTTCTTTACGGTTCAAAATACGGTTCACAGTGCATGAAATGAATTGTGAGGCACAAGGTACACTTATCAGTTAGACGATTTTATTGTAACTTTTTTGCCTACATACTGTTAAAAATATATAACGTTTACATCGTTAAGGTAGGAATACATAAACGCTTATTTGGCTGGCTTAAGTCGTCGGCTGGCTTCTTTCATTATCCCGCTGTTTAATTGATTTTAAAAATGAGGAAATATATTGAATAAATGAAAACAACTTATATTTGTATTTGTCATACAACATAATCTTTTTAGCTATAGGAGAGATGTAATAATCGGCCATAATATATTAGTTTTATTTTGGTTGATATCGGATGCGTATTAAGGTGGGGATACATTAAGCGCTTAATAATAGCTTTAAATGATTTAGAAAATATTATGTTTTTTAATTTTTCAAAATAATAAACACATAATAAACACATACGGGTCGGGCACACTTAGAAAAAAATTGATATCAGCTTGTAGCTCTACTTTACCTTTTTATTGTACCATGATTCCCATCATGTTTTGTGGTTTCCCTCAACATGAGAATTTATGAAAATATTTAAAATAAAGAAAACCAATTGTTAAATATTTAAATGTCTATTTGACACAAAAAGTATTCACTACTGAGTTGTATTTTCCTTATTGCTTTGAACTTGAACAACATTTCTTAATGAAACATGTGTCAAACCATCTTCCTTTTATCTCTTAACGTAAAGTTTACTGAATTTATGTTGCCATATTTTATATTGATAATATGGCAATAACAGCAAAAATTAAATAAAAAAATGGACAACGCAAATCGTTTTTTTTTATACTGAAGGACTTAATTATAAATTTATTTCACGAAATATATTATTATTATTATTTTGTTTTCATTTTTGCATGGTAGAATTAAGATGATAAAGTCATGCAATCATATTTTTACAATTTTTTCAGATTTATGCATTTGACAACATATCATTGCCAAAATCTATATTCAAAAATCCATTAAATACATACAAAATCAGAGGTGGGAACTGTATTTTATCCATTAAAATTTGACAAGGTAAATTACAGAATATACAGAGATGGGAATGCTAATTTGAAAGATGTTACCTTTATTTCATTGCACCATGGACACACTTAGAAAAAAATTGTTATCACGAGGTAGCTCTACTTACCTTTTTATTGTATCATGATCCCAATCATGTTTTGTGGTTTCCCTCAATATGAGAATTTATGAAAATATTTAAAATAAAGAAAACCAATTGTTGAATATTTAAAAGTCTATTGAATTCATTTTGCCATATTTTATATTGATAATATGGCAATGCCAGCAAAATGTATTCAAATAAGAAATGGAAAACACAAATGATTAATTTTATGTTAAAGAACTAAATTGAAAATTTATTTCACGAAATTAATTACATATTAGTTTGGTTTATTCCTTTAAACAAAAATTAGGATACCATTGCACAGTGGTCGAGGTCGTATGGGAACAGCGGCAAAAAATACTTTCAGTGCAGATATCAATATGAATCTTTGGTTATGGTACCTTGATGGGATAAAAATAAAAAATGTGACAAAATGGATATAGTTGATGCATGTTTTGGCATTGTCCCCTTACAACGTACCTCCTAAATAAGGGTTATTTGACCAATTCTTGTCACATTTCTACACTAGATTGTAATATTATTTGACATTTTACGTTCTATGGAGTTAAAAAATAATCTTACTGAAAATTATTTGGAACAGCCCGCCTTCAGGTAGAGTCCCCCTGTAAAGGTACCTCCAAAATAGAAGCATTTTTTATACAGATCATGTCCAAATTTGATTATTTTTTGTAAACTAAATAAAATAACAATATAATGTAAAATTAAATCAAAGTTACATTTTGCACAAATAATTTGTTTGACTTAAGGCCCTATTGAAATTGGAGATAATCTGTCAAAATTTAGGTATAGCTCCCATATATATTCATCCAATTTGCCTTATATTGCGCACTAAACTTGTAATATCAGCCCAAATAGTATGATTTTTGGACCTGAAAATAAGTATGCCGAATTTGATCGAAATCGGTTCAGTTTATATATAGCTCCCATATATATTGTTCATCCGATTTGTTATTTTTGTCCTCCGCAGCCGTAATATGCACTCTGTAACAACAATATTTGGGGAAATATATCAAATATAACTCAGAAATACCCTTTCTAGATTTTATAGAGATCTGTTAATATTTGGATATGGCTCAAATATATATCTTCGTCCGATTTGCCTTTTATTGTGCACCAAACGTGTAATATTAGCCCAAATCAAATATATATATTTAATTTCAAGTTGATTGTGCACCAAATAATACAAGCCCGAATTGAAAAGGCGCAAATGCCTTGACAAATTTAGTAGAAATCCATTCAGAGGAGGATATTTCTCCCATATATTAGTTCCTTTGGACATTTAATTATTACTATAATCATAGTTGGTATGATTTAATTCTCACAAATTCCCCATAAATACCTTTATTTGTTTTGTGACGCTCTACTAAATATGCAAAGTGGTGTAGGGTATCATGAAGTCGGCCCCGCCCGACTTTAAGACTTTCTTTACTGGTTATTGTTTGGTAACGTTCGCTGTCCCGTCATAAAAGGGTCAGAGCTCAGAAGAAGACGGTTAATAAGGTCTGTGTTTGTTGAAACACGAGATTTTTTCGGGTATGATTTAGTCGAAACTTTTTATATCTTTGTTTCTAGACTCCACGGCCTCTTCCTAAAATTATCTAATCGATATAATGACAAATTTATAATGTCGGGTGCATGTATTAAAATTTTATGAACTGTAGGTGGAAGATAGTGCCATGGATGTATATTCTATGACACTATCACCATATAACTGACAAAATTGCAGCGAAGTCACTTCAGTATATTGGGCATAACGTACACATCTGACAAAATCTGAATGTTAAATTAGCACTTTTAGAATCTTAGGGCCATTACTAATGGCGTGAAAAAAATCACATTGGAGGATTCAGGGGGGAAACAATTAAAACTGAAACTGAAATGTAATTTTATTTTCAAAATTAATCTTAAAAGCAACTCAGAACACTCACTCACATCATACACATATACTAAACACACAAATTACTACACTAAAAATAAGTCAATACCTTGCTTTTCAATAATAATGCCAAGATTTGTCATTTTAAAATGTATTTAATTTTGTAATACAGTTCTATTTTTACTCCACTTTTTCTCTGATTCCACTGAAAAAAAGCAACTAACTACATTTTCTCTTTTTTGATGCTATTTTTGAAGTGGGTCGTTAAAATGAAGCCAAGGTTATTATACTTTCTAAAAAGCTTAACCCCTTAAGAGTTAATTTGTACACATTTGACAATAAATATCTGATTTTCATTTTTTGAATTTTGGCCAATGGCAGCGACCACTGTGCATTGTAAAAAAAATGCAGTGACTACCAGTTACACTTACAAATTATTACTCATTTTATTGCCACTTTCTAAAGTAAAGTAAACTTTATTAGATTCTTCTTCTTTTTTGGTAAATGTACGTACAAATCGAATGGTTAACATGTTTAACTTAGAACTATAGTCGTCTTGTTCTATTATGCAGTGAAGTCGTAAAGATATGCTACTTAGCGTAATATTAGAATGTATTATGTATTTCATGCAAAGTGAAAAAAGAAAATGAGGCTTGCTCCCGGCCTCCGCTGAAAGAAATCAAAACAAACTAAAAAACTAAATAACAAAGTGGTCTGTTACAACAGTGTCGAACAGACGGTATAATAAAAATGATAGTTTTTATACCCTCCAACATATATTAACGTTGTCATTCCGTTTGAAACTCCTCGAAATACTCATGTCAGACCCAACAAAGTATATATATTCTTGATTCTTGATCAGCGTAAAATTCTAAGTCTGTCTGTCTGTCCGTCTGTCTGTTGTAATCACGCTATCTTTCGAACGAATTGAGATAGAAAGCTAAAATTTTGCACTATTCCAGTAGGCAGGTTAAGTTCGTTAATGGGCCATGTAGCCCCCATATAACGGTACCTCCCGATATTCGGTATTTTGATGATTTTAGCGACATTATTCACCGTTTATTTCAAGTTTCGAATTTGAATATGGTAATGGCTTATGGCGAACAATGGCAATGTAGGTCCGCGTCGTATAGACGGAACATAGGGAACTACAGTCTGTAACACAAAATTGTCTATGCAGGTCGAGGTCTTCGTATAGGCCCCATATATCAGTACCTCCCTATATTCGGTATTTTGACGATTTTAGGTGCAATACCCACCGAAATTGTTTGAGATGTGGTATTTGAAGTTCGTAATGGATGCTACAGCCTGTGACAGAAAATTGTCTATGCAGGTCCAGGTCTTCGCACAGCTCCGATATAACGGTACCTCCCTATATACGATATTTTGATGATTTTGGCTACATTATTCACCGTTTATTTCAAGTTTCGAGTTTGAATATGGTAATGGCTTATGACGAACAATGCCATTGTATAGAACCCAATATAACGGCTGTATTTGGTTTTTTTTTAAATTTTAACAGAATTTTTTAAGGATTTTATTTTTTGAAAATTTCCAAATTCGTTCCAAATGGTGGAGGGTATTCAAAGTTCGGCCCGGCCGTACTTACTGCTTTTTAACTTGTTAAATATAATTTATGCTTAATGTATAGTTTATCACAGATCGAGTGCTTAAAGAGCTTTTTTTGTATAGTAAAATAACATTATCACCGATAAATGTATCGAATAATACTGATCGAGTGCTCAGTGAGCTTATATATGGAAACAATTATATGGAACCTTATGTGGTATGTAAAGTTGCTATATAGTATACAATGTAAATAAGAATAAAATTATTTATCTATCCTCTGTGACAGCCAGATGCAATTTTTTGTAAAATTGTGGCAAGTTATGGTCAAGAAGGCTTTCAAGCGTTTCGTTCAAGATTCCTACAGATGATAGGTAGGAGGATTGTGACCAGGAAATTTCTTTTTCGATTTCATATATTTCTTTCATCAGATAGTTTTTATGCGTGGCAAGTTTTTCGACAAATGTTAATTGTTGGCGTTGGGTTTATTCACAAAGAGGAACAACATTTGACGCAGTATAAATGTGGGTGTTTGAGTATTGTTTATGTTCATTCATTAAATTTTTGTTGATACATTTCCTTATAATTTTTCTTTCCAGGACTTCCAATTCTTTGGCCACTGTTGGGGAAATAGAGAACCAGATCGGAAATCCATAGAGCAAAATAGGACGGATTGGAACCTTGTAGAGGAGAAGTTTCGTTTTTTTGCATGATTAAACGGGCATGGAAATTAAATTTCATTAAGTTGTTGAATTGGACGCCGAGATATTTGAAAGAGGTTCTGAATGGTATGTTTATGCCATCCAAGGACAGTTGTAGTGATTTGCTCTCTGGGACAACGTACCATGGGCATTTTCCGGAGGCGTTACGTATACAGATTGCAACAGACTTCTCGGCGTTTATTTGTATACCCCACTTTTTGTAGTAGCTGTCAATGTTCTGAAGGTGATTTTAGGGACGAAAAACGTTCTTGATGTGAAGAAACTTTTCATCATTTTTATTAAGTATGGGTCAGTGCCCATTTATATTAACTTGTAAATGATTCCGACGTGACATATTGAGTTAAAAGCTCTTTGAATGTCTAACGATTTTGCCACGGTACACATTTTGTTCCGCAAATTAGAGGTTATATCGTTATGGAACTTGAGAAGAGTATGATGGGTGAAATGTCCAGGTTTAAATCCAAATTGGTAGGCAGAGATCGGATCTATTGTGAGTTCATTAAAAATTTTTTCTTTCAGGATTAACTCGAAGATTTTCCCAATGTTTGACAACAGCGAAATTGGCCGAAAGTCAAACGCAGCGTTCGGCTTTTTTGATTGGAATGATTTGGGCGCGTTTCCATTGTATTGGAAAATACCCATTGTTGATGCAATTGTTGAACAGACAAGTGAAAAATCTTACTGCTGTGTCCGGAAATTTTTTAATTATAAAGTTTGATATGCCATCGGATCCACAAGAACTTTTTGAATTGGTAGTAGCAATAACACTCTTTACTTTTCCAGGAGTAGTAAAATGATGGGAGTCGGGATTGTTCAGGACACTGAATTCGTCATTGAAAGTGTAAATGAAAGGTGTTGTGACGTCAATACACAATTCAGATCGTGAACTCGATGTAGAGGCAATTTCTCTAGGAATATTGAAGAATAAAATAACTGGAACTTATTTGCAATTTCAGAGTTGTTTGTAATAATACTATCGCCGTGTTGAAGTTTTTGACAAAAAGATGAATTTGTTATTGTAGTAAATTGGGAAATTTTTTTGAAAGCTGAAGGTCCGGGTTTGATTTTTTTTCAACTTGTTGCTAAATATGTTGGCAGATTCTATTTTTATGAGTTCCTTTATTATGTTTTTAAATAATTGAACTTGTTTTGAGAGAATTATGTACTCACGGTTGATTCTGTTTCCTGTACGGTGGAAATTTTTTTTCAGTTCTTTCTGCCATTGGTGTTTGACTTTAAGAAAGTTTTTAGTTCTTTCGGAAGGAGGGAATTTTCCGTCTTTTATGAGTATCTTTTCTGAATGAGAGCTGTGAATGCTGTTAAATTAATTGTTGAAGTTCTCGATGATCATTTCAATCTCATTGTTTTCGAGGTTTTTATTGGTCGGTGGAATAATTTGTTGTGTTATTGTCTCCAAATTTCGACGAAAATCATACCAGTTTGTATTTTTGTATGATGTGAAGAATTTTGGTTGCTTCAGAACTAGATTGGAACTATCTATCTAACTATTATTGGAAAATGATCCGAAAAGGTCGGCAGCGAAGATATGTGGTAGTTTTGAATTCCATGGTTTATTAGATGTGGGCTGATTAAGAAATGGTCCAAGAAAGACGGTGCATTTGTATACGACGGCGAGATGTCACAAAGCCGAGTGAATCTAAGGCTGAAAAACATAAAGCGCATATTTGGCTGGCTTAAGTCCTCGGCTGGCTTCTTCGTAGATGAACAAAGGAGTTTTAGGTTGACCTAGTTCGATTTTGGCCCTAGTCTCCTTTGTTCATTTCCGAAGAAGCCAGCCGATGACTTAAGCCAGCCAAATAAGCGCTTTATGTATTTCCAGCTTAAGGAGTTGCTGCTTAGCAATGAATTCAAAACTTTACCATTTGAGTTTTCGTTGAAATCACCCCATGCAGGATTTTTGGAGTTAAGGTCTCCACCGATGATAAATCCATCAAAGGAAGTACAGAATTCCAAAAGTTTATTTAGATCTTCTTCGAGTCTGTTGACAGAATAACTGCAAGGTATATACATCGTGCCAATCAAGAACATTTTAGGTCCATTGTTTGAAGAAATTTCTACTTGTATGAAAGTTATGTCGTTTTCCAATAGGAGAGTTGTCGTATATAAATTTGTATACGTCTATTTTGACGTAACGCTTTCTTCGAAGGTGGCATTCTTGAACAAGAGCAAAGTCAATTTTTTCGCTGTGGGAATATTTTGCAGCTCTAAGTGACGACTCGCTTCAACAAGTGTGCGAACATTGAATGTTAGGAATTTTATGAGCCTATGGTCCATAATTAGTCCTAACTTTTGTTAGAAGCCTCAAAAATTCCTTCTTGGCTTCATTTTTGGCATGTTTTTAAAGTTATTTAGAAACAATTTAATTTCTTCTTTCAACGTTAGTTGATCCTGCAAGTTTTAAAAAATCCTGTATAAGTGATGGTTTTGGAATGTTTCCGTTTGTAGATGCAGAGTTCGGTTTAAAAAGACTTGCAATTAAATTTCCATGGTAAGTATCGGACGAATTTGACTTTTTTGACGTTGTTTGGCGCAATGTTTTTAATCTCTATATCTTTAGCTGTTCTTTTCTTTTTGGCAGCTATGTATTGTTTGTATGCTGGACAGCCTATATAGTTTGCGGGATGTCCTGATTTGTTGCAATTTACGCAAAAGGGTTCTGAGGTGTCGAATTTCTTACGCTGACATTCTCCTGGGAGGTGAACTTCGCGCCACTTTACGCATTTATATGGTGTATTGCAGTTCCTGGATATATGACCGTAGGCCTCACATCTACGACATTGTGGATCGCCTTCTTTCTTTTTGAGTTTTTCCCAGGAGATGGATTGGTTTCGTAGGCCACGCATATGGGAGACTTCCCCGAAAGTTTTGCCTGGCAACAATGTTACTAGGAAAAGACCCGTGTCGGTGTTCATTTTTATTGACCTCGGCGTTTTAAATTTCGTTACGTTTGCCACTGTATTTGGAACAAGTATATCGAGTTCCTCTTTAATATTTTCTGGATCTGTGTTTGGATACAGGTCTCTTATTATTAGCGGCACTTGTTTAAGCTTCTTTGGTGTAAATGAATAGGAGTGTACGTTTTTGGTCTTGAGTATAGCCATCATTGAGGCGTGTACTTTCGGGTCTGCAAAGTAGATTTTGCTTTTTGTCCTGTTAACGTTTTTTATTTTAAACGAAGATTCTGGGACGGGTATACGTAAAGTTTCCACTAGAGCATTTATATCAACGTTAAATACAAAAATTGGAGGACACCAGGTTTTCTTGGTCTTTGGCTCAACAACGCTGTAATTTTGAGGTTTTTGATTATTGTCATATTGATTTGGCAATTCAATGTTGATGTCTGCAAGGGCTCCTAGAATGTCAAATCTATTATCGTCTTGCATGTTATGTTTCAATAACTGGTCGTTTAAGTCAGAAATGTCTACGTTTATGGGGGACAGAACGCTTTCCAGTCTTTGCTTTTTGCACCCATTTTGTGTTGTTTGCAATTTTGTCGTTGCTGTAACATCAAGGTCCATATCTGGAAAAGTTTCAGGCACCTCCAATGCAAGTTTAGATGCCGGGTCCACAAGTTATTGTTACAAATTCTACTTGGCTGAATTTATTTTATTATCTTTTATTGGAGCGAAAATCGGTACGTCTTACAAGTTGTAGGGTTCACTAGGTATTTGCCACTTTCTAAAGAAAAGATATAATTGTGAGAACCCTTGGTAGAAGAATACAGGTAGATGCATCAACGCTTGGGAACATTGATATGTCCAAAAATTTGAAATGTTTTTTCAAATATAAGTAGAATTTTATATGTGTTCTTATACGACGTCATTCGGAGGTTATTTTAATTCGCGGTTTTCAACAAGTTTTACAAATTTAAATAATTTTTCATTTAAAATTTTCAATACCAAAATTGGTTTGACAGTTCATTGTCCCAGCAGCTGTGTTGATACGTCTACCTATATTCTTCTACCATGTGAGAACCTGATAATGTAAACTTTATCCTTTTCTTTCCTTAAAGTAAGAGATAACAAAACTATAAAGGAATGATATAAAAACGGGCCTATGGCCGGTAGATAAAAAAGTGATGTTGTCGGACACATAAATCGTTTTTCGTAATTACAAGTTTCGGTTAAATATAAACTGTCCGATAAGCAAAAGGTCAGACCATCTTCCCTTTATCTTTTAACGTAAAGTTTACTGAATTCATGTTGCCATATTTTATATAGATAATATGGCAATAATAGCAAAATTAATTTAATCGATGAAATGGATAAAGCAAGTAGTTTATTTTATATTGAAGAACTTAATTATAAATTTATTTCACGAATTTAATTACTTATTAATCTTTATTAATTATTTTTAAACTAAAATGAAGATGCCATTGTGGAAAAAATTAAAAATACTTTTAAAAAAAGCTTGCCATATCTCTATAAAAATGCATATATTTTTAATGTGAACTTTGTCCTTTACTTTCCCTAAAGTAAGGGATAACAAAAGTGAACTATAAGGGAACGATATCAAAACGGGCCTATGTGTGAAATATTTTTTTTGTAGATGTCAAGAAGAAGTCTTTTAAGGGCTAAGTACATAAGAAGCTTGAAGTCATGGCTAAGGCATATTAATGTCAAATTATAATGGAAAACGACGGCTGGATTTTAGTGCGGCTCTGTAATCCCTTTGTGAAATGTCACAAAATATGCCTAGCCATGACTTCAAGCTTCTTATGTACTTAAGGGCTAAAGCTGGGAATACATAAAACGCTTATTTGGCTGGCTTAAGTCATCGGCTGGCTTCTTCGGAAATGAACAAAGGAGGGCCAAAATCGAACTAGGTCAACCTAAAACTCCTTTGTTCATCTACGAAGAAGCCAGCCGATGACTTAAGCCAGCCAAATAAGCGATTTATGTATTCAGGAGTGAAAGTACACCTCATGGGCTTTCCAACGTGCTATTAAATGAGCTTGCACTATTTTTAGTTTTCGCACAGTGGGGCTCGTTGATAACTTTTGAAAAATAAGAAAAA